TGTAACTTATCCATGATTTAACAAATAAATATTTTTATTTCAAAAACCCTAAAAAGAAAGTTAACGCGTGCCGTGCTAGCAAAACTTGATCACACTACTTATCCACAAACGAAATCATCTGAAGCGGCAAGTGAGCAAAGCAAGCAAACCAAGGGCGTAGACACACACATCTACACGCGCGGGCATACCGAGTGTATAACCGCAATGTGAAATACTGAAAAGCGCAAATGGACCTTAAAGCAGTAACTTGAAGAGCAATCACACGCAGCAAAGAAGCCTTGTAAGTAAATAAACAAACAAACAAAATGGCGCCCTCCCATCAAGCCTCATGCCGCCGATGACGGTATTATCTATTTTATAGTTTAATTCGCCCGCTTCGCCGATGATGATCTTTACCGGCTTCCCACACGGCCCGAATCACAATCACCCCGTTGTTCAATCATGTGCACACACGCCATAACAAATTCAAGGTTTGAAATTCGTGCATTTCGCGCTTAAGTGTAAATTGACCCTGATTTGAGTTCGTTACGTATATTATTTTCGGTCGTCCACACATGAATACAAACACACATCTCACACGCGTGCATCGTCCGCTTTCTTCGCTTAGTTCTACAGTTCAGTTCAGAGTTCTTCGGGTGTTCGGCGACGTCGAATTGGCGAGTATGTGTAGTACGGCAGCGTGAGCGACGTGTGTGTGCGTGTCGAGCAACAGCTGTTCGATTCGTGTTGGTTATTTTGTATCTGCCGTCCTTTTTCTTTAAAGGTACACACGGACCAACCGCACGAAGCGAAACTCGTTTCCACAGGTAGTTGCGGCGGCGCGCGACCGCTACACTTTTTACGTTTCGCTTGTGTTTTTTTCTTCTTTTCTTCTCTTCATCTTCAACTTTACGTTTAATGTCATAACGAACGGCAGAACAGCAATCAAGACCGGGAAGAAATTAGCGATAATAACATTAATAATATGCACTTGCATAATGTACAATATTTGTACGACTAAAAATCGGGTAAATACAAAAATATTTAGTAAAACATTTGCAGGGTGAGTTAGGGGCGCCACGGTCAGGGATTCCCCGAGGGAGTACTTTGCTACATCCTCTCCGAAACACAAGTGCCAACCATAAACTGCGACGCTGACGCACAAAAACTGTAAAAAGCTTAACGGGATGAATTCCTTTCCTTATACAACTTTTGTGTCCAGCCCAGTTAATGATAGTGTCAAGCAACACGTCTCTGAAATTTATTGTTGTGCACATCTCGCAAAATCAACAATACAGTAGTATCTGAAGTGTACAAACAAGAAATAACAATACGAAAATTACGATTAGAAGCGTTAAAGTCGGCTGTGGATTCGCATGAACCTGTTTACCGGTACAAAACTGCGAGTCATGCATGGTGAACGCGCGATGAAAGAGGAGGACGATGGGGTGGATTGGTTGGTGGTAGTGCGCGCAGTGAATCGCAACCGCCTTGCCGCAACTACCTAGGAACGACGCACCGAAACGGTTTGAAGGTCGCCATGGCAACAAGGGGTGCAAGGGTGACGTCGCGCGAGAGCACCCAAGTTTACAACCATCGCATACACACATTCACATATATTATCTACTACCACCCTCCCCAAGTGAAGTACACATACAAATTCACTCTAACTCCTTACAAGGTGTATCTAAATTACAATTTGCGCACAAGAAACAACTAGTATTAGAATAACCGAGACATTAAAGAAATAAGTTTTAGTGGTACACCCTATATAATACCTTTGTGTGAACACGGGCTGATCCTAGCATCCTTAGATAAAACCTACCTAGATTTAAAAAAGCCAGCCGAAATACCGTTGCTTAAGTCAGTCAAAACTATGCCCACTAAGCTGGCGCACTCCTTCGTTTGCGCGTGCATTATACAACGAATATATCAGTTTACATATTAAACTAGACGTCAATTTCAACACGGTGTTGCAAAGCTACTTCGTAGTACTCTATTAGCCGAGCCTGGTAGTCATCATTATCTTCCCAGCATTTGATAATATTGGTATGCACGTGTTCACGATGATTATGCAGAAAGTGATTCCGTTGAATTGCAAGCAGTCATAAATTGGAAATCCTTTTGTGCCAATTAATGCAACGATGCGAATTATGCGGATTATTACATTTTTTCTCACTATCCATATGGCGCTTATGGCAATCAAAAACATAAAATGTATAAAAGAATACAAACTATCAGTGCTCATTCGCATTTCCGCGAGATAAGTGTGTGAACCGATTGGTAGGAATCTATCAATAAAACTATGCTGATTCAAGTGCCCATTATATTGTTCTAAAAATGCTCAAAAACAAAAAAAAAATCTTGTACACGCGCATAACAGTTTTGTACAACTTTTCAATATCCACAAGGTGTGTGAGTATTTGATGATTCAATCACCTCACACATCAATTTCCAGCAGCGCAAAACTAATATCGAATTATTACTCATAATTTTACCATTTGAGCATCAACGCCACTTGAACAGACATCGCGCATCGACTCGTTGAGTCGAGATTCGGATTAATGTGCACGAACAAGCCCTCGGCCGTCTAGGCTAGACGCATGCAACGCGTATCCGCACTATGTACGAGACAGCTTTAATAATAATAGAATTCGTTTCGAGCGGAATGCGATGATAAAATATTAATGCGAGCCTTCGACTGCTCGAGTGGCATCCGTAACTAAGAGTACCTTAACTACGCGTCACGAATAAAAGCAAGAAGTGCGCGCGGTTTAAATATCGCGGTCGGATTAAAAATGAAGAAATGCCATCGACGCACGAAGAAATTAAAAACCGAAATCAGAGTAAAACAAAAACAGCGAGACCGATTTTCTGTTACTATATAGATACTGAGTATATACGACTGAACGACATGTGTTTAAGTAATTTTCGAAAGCAATATATACCAAAAAAGTCAACAGAGTTCACTTTTTCTTATATTTATTTAAGATAAAATAAATGTTATTTATGTCTATATAAACTAATATATAGCTGGGCTGATACAATGAAACTTATTTAATAAAGTAAAATATATACGGAATCGATTATTATTTATTATCGCGCCACGCGACCGATTGTCAATGAGCATATTTATACCTGCCGAATATATATGTTATACGAATATGTTGTTATCACAGCTTGACTTGAATTTCATCACACCGTTATTGTCGAAACTCACCGATTCATTTTTCAGTTTAATGTATTTTAGAGTGTAATTGTGTGAATCGTGATAGTTTACTATCACTAGCACTAGTGGTTCCACGTCTCGTATGTCAACAATAATATTGGTAACTTTGTACATGTTTTGAGCACACGAGTTTCTTAAAACTACGGATTAATCATCACCGAGAGACGCAGAACTTCAGCAATATGAGCACACGGCTTTTCGTCACGGCATTTTATTCTCCGGATCTCTTGGGACGCGGATGATGCCAGTTCACATGTAAATAACACACCAACAACGAATGTTTCTAGTACAGCCACTCCGAGCTACACCTTAGCGCAAAACTATTGCTCCTCTCGCACACGGTTGATGTTGATACACGCGCGTCGCACAGGCAGCACACACCGAGAGAAACACGGACCCCAAAGAGGAGCGCAAACCCAAACACACAATGCATTCGCTGTCGACGGCCGGGCCGGCGCGATTTTTGCACACGAATTACACGCGCCGTGCCGAAAATAATGTTCTAACCCACTCACCTGGTGCTTTGTTGGCGATTTTGTTAAAACAAGTGGTAAAAACTTCGTATAAATGATGCATAGGCTCATCGTCGCTGGCAGCCATTTTACCTCACTACTGACATCCACTCTCGACACTCGCTCGCTCGCGCCGCACGGCCACACTCATGCACAGACGGCACAGGCGGGTTGCCCTGGCGCACCACGGTGGGAAGACGGCCAGCGGTAGCGTCGCGCACGAAACGGTTGGCTAACGACACGCGCATAACGCGGGAAATTCAAACCTACGGCATATTACTGCAACTAATTTTGCAAACTAAAACTTAACTAATGTTTATTTGGAACTATATATTATTTATATAAATAAATATCCAACTATTAACCTAACTTATAATAACTTAATTTCATAATCGCCGCTTAAATATGACCAGTTTTGCATCTTTTCCTAATTTGTTTATTTCAAAACTTCTATTCATTATAAACAAATCAAAGAACCATTAATTTCGCAAATATTTTATATTTTAGATCAAAATTCTTGAATATGTACATTGATATCATCTACGCGTGTAAATTTTGGTCCGAAAGCTTTTCGAATATTTTAATTGTAATAACGATGGTGAACTGTAAATATAATCACTGATGAACAAAGTAAACAGTAAAAAAGTGTGTAATACACGTAAAATTATTGCTTGCATACGTGGCCCATGCATAAATCAACGAAATCTATTATTCAACTTGTGCTTGCTCGCCATCCAACTGTAATTACCAAGGTGGAACGTATCAATTCGATAATAGAGAAATAATTAATAATACCCAGACAACAGAATAGCAGAATCAAGTGGAATCGACTGGGACGTAGTAGGCCATGCGCCACATATATTAATTCAATTAATTATTCACTTTTTTATTATTCTTACGTTATACTTATGGAGTTTTAATTTTTTTTTCTAATAAAAAATAATATAAAGTAGGAGTCGTCATTAATTATTTCTTTTAAATTTGAAGAGAAAAAAATCAACTTAATAATAGTGTGAATACACTAAATATTTATTTAGCAAATATATTTTTTGTTAATTATTTCACCCACATCAATTGCATTTATTCAAACGCATAAATAAATTGGATGTTTTTGTTTGTTTCGAAACTCATAGAATCGATTGATTCCTGGTTGTTTCGGCGGTTAATTGGTAACGATTGGAATACCTGAGATATAAATGATTGACTTGTTTACCCTTTCAGAGTTTATTTAAACTTTCAACAAACTTCTTACATGTTAGTACTGCACAAGATCTTACCAAAGTCTCTTGCATTAAATTATTCTTATTTTTGTTACAATGAGAACCCCAGAATCATCTGAAAAGATTTTCAGTAAAGAAAATAGAACTGAAGACATACCATGGCTGTACGATATAAGTTTAGACGATACCAACTGGATAATAACAAGTTCGTTTATGATATTTACTATGCAAACTGGCTTTGGAATGCTCGAATCTGGATGCGTATCAATAAAAAACGAAGTAAATATCATGATGAAAAACGTTGTGGATATAGTATTAGGTGGTAAGTATGAAAATTTGATTGAAATTAGAAGTGTATGAGAATGATTTGTATTGAAGGATTAACTTACTGGATATTTGGTTATGCGTTTTCGTTTGGTCGAAGTTCAATGAGTAATGGTTTTATTTCTTTCGGTGATTTTCTTGTTGATCCAGATATTTCCGATCCCATGATGGGCGCGATTTATGCTGCGTTTATTTTTCAACTTTCGTTCGCAACGACCTCTACGACAATTGTGAGCGGCGCAATGGCCGAACGGTAAATTTTTACGCCTAAGGGTTGGCAATCAAATATACACAAAAGTTATACCAACTCGATATAATATATTTTGAAAATTAAATAATGTTTTCAGTTGTAACTTTAAAGCATATTGCATATTCAGTTTTTGGAATACGTTGATGTATTGTATACCAGCTGGTTGGGTCTGGGGAGATCATGGATTTTTGAAAAAATTGGGTGCCGTTGATATTGCTGGCTCGGGTCCTGTTCATCTAATCGGTATTTGATATTTTAAATTATAGTAGATATTTTACAAGTTGTTTTCTTAAAGGTGGAACTGCTGCATTAGGTGCGGCAATAATGCTGGGTCCCCGTATTGGTCGATATGACAATGGGATTGCCCCATTACCATTGGGTTCACCAGTAAATGCAGTTATGGGCTTATTCGTTCTTTGGTGGGGCTGGTTGGCATTTAATTCGGGCAGTACTTACGGAGTTAACAAATCCACGATATTATTAATATGTTGACAATAAAAATGACAATAATTTTAGTTAAGTGGTGTTAAATGGCAGTACGCAGCCAGAGCAGCCGTGATGACCATGATTGCATCCTTCGGAGGTGGTACGGTTAGTTTAATGTATTCCCTGATCATTGATAAGGGTAGGATAGAAGTTATTGCAATTATAAACGGAATACTTGGATCGTTAGTAGCCATTACCGCAGGATGTTTCTTATATGAAGGTGAATACATTGTTGTAAACTCAAAATGACCGAGTATATTGGAAGGATTTATTTCAGCATGGGAAGCACTAGTTATTGGAGCTATAGGTGCATTGATTGTATGCATTGTCATGCCAATTTTTGACAAGTTAGGAATAGATGATCCAGTTGGTGCTAGTTCTGTTCATGGTGTTGGTGGAATTTGGGGTATATAATGTATATTAAAAATATATTTTAATAAATTCTATAATTTGATGATTGCAGGTGTGTTGGCAGTAGGTATTTTTGCTAATGATCCGGTACCATTAGGAACAACGAATGGTCTTAAAGGATTAGTCCATGGCGGTGGCTGGTATTTACTTGGAATACAAGCGTTATCATGTTTATGTCTAACACTCTGGGGCACATTCTCATGCATGCTTCTACTTTGGCTAATTAATAAAATTGTCCTTATCCGGATGGAAGTACACCATGAGTTGATGGGTGCCGATTTAATGGAACATCATATTAAGCATTCACAGGTATCATTTCCACAACAAAATTATCAAAAATTAATTATTTACGTTTAAGGTTGGCGTATCAAGAGCAATGTCCGCTCTAAGAGATATGATTGACACATCGGATGTAGAAAATATAGTGGGTGTAGGATTAAATCCCGGACATGACGTTAATCTAGTGAAACTTAAAAATTTATCAAACAGAAGACGTTATAAATTTTCGCGCATGTTGCAAAACATAACAAAGAACCGAAATTTTGGTATAAACACCGCGAGGAAATTATTTCCAAAGAAAAACGAATTGCGAGCGAGTTCAGCACTGAGTACCAAAAAACTATCGGTAACTTCTTTGAGCAAAGGGAAAGTCACACCTTTACCTATGCCTGTACCAAGTATAACAACAAAGGTACCACCGCCACCTCTTCCATGGTTGGATTAAAGTTGGGTTAACGTCTTGGAAGTCACAAAAGACACACACCACAAGCACAAACATGACACGCCTTAAATTATAAATTAACACAAGAAACAACGTTCAAGCAATTATGTGAGATATAAAATATTATAATATACGTAAAGTGCTTAATGTATATGAGCCTTAGATGTAAAATAAATAAATTTATAGATGAAAATCATCCTGCGCGTCTTGCATCGTTCTACATTAAACACGTTAGCAACGATATGCGGCTTTCCACGCCGCGGTGACTGCGCATGTTAGACTTAATCATAATTAGGACCACCTTGTTTTGCTCAGATGTACTTATTGTACAATCGCTGATGTGCGGGTCAAAAATCAGGTGGAGGAGGCGTCGGTGGCACTCTCTTATTGACATTAGAATATGTTGTAATTCTCGCAATCGGAGCTGGATGTGTGGTTGTGCCCATGTCCTGTTTATGAGGAATGGGAGGTGCACGCGTAGCTTTCGGAAACCGCCGCTTCTTTCGGGTATTACTCGTTTTAACACTTAATTGTGTCAGAGTTTCTTTTTCTCGAGTTTCATATGTAAGCATTGGATGCATTTCAATATCTCTCTGTTTCCTTTTTCTAGCAATTTTTACTTGACGATCATGTTTCTTACTGCGGCGACATCTCATACAGATTATACAAAGGACTATTGATGTCATAATAACCAAAGCACCGTAGGCATAATATTTGTACTTTTTAACATTCAAAACCTGAAAAATTATTTTATAACAACGCAATAAATAAAAAATTAATAACTATCATAAAAATACCATCATATTCATACACGCAGGATCTTGAAAGGGAGAAGTACATTTAAAGCATGTTCGTGATCCTGAATATGGCTGATAATGACGCGGTGGACAAGGCATACAACGAGCAAGTCCACCATTATTATAAGTATTCTTATCGCATGCAGCTAAAAAATATAAATTAAAACCTTACATCTATTATTGTTTAATTTACTTACAACATATATGCTTATCTCCAAGTAAACCGTAACCAGCAGCACATGCAAGAATAAGTTTTGGTGTTTCCGTAATTTCATAAGAAGCCAATGTTGAATCCTTCGAAGGAGTAAGTGTGACATCACGACTATGTTTGTATATAACTGGCTGTGTTTCAAACACCAAAATATTATTTACTATCACTGATATCAGTTTCGAATAAATTTTCATTTGGCATAAAACATTGCACTGTGTTGTATTTAATGTAGGAACAATCACATGCATCTCTTCAATGTGAAATACTAACGCAATTGAAATAAACTTCTTATGCTTGTTAATACAACTGCAGTTGACGATATCAATTGCACATATTCTATGTTCCTTCCCACAGAGCATATTTCCAATGGCAGTATTAAAATATAGTCTTAATAGATCCTCATCTTCTTTTAAACAATCAACATTAATTTCATACAAAATAGTTGTATTGATATCCATTGTTGGTAAACTAATAACTGATAGTTCATGTCTAAATGTTCGCATTCCCACTTGATGGTTAGTCACTGAACACGTATAGTTCCCCCGTCAGATGGTTCAATATTAGCTATAATTAAATCACCACTTACAGTTTCTTGCGTTTTACTACCTGTGAGTGGTGTGTCTTTGCCTATGGTCCATCTCATGTTGTAATCTTTTGAACTAAAGTTCTTTCCGTCAGCGCATATCATTCGAACTGTAGAGCCAATTGTGGCAAATTTATGCGCTTCAGTTTCTTCTAAGTCAATATCTTTGCTAAGTGCGTCTTTGATGTCCACGCTCGCTATTACTTCTCGTTTTGGTTTCTGTGTTACTTGTGCATCCATATCATAGTCGTCCAAGTTGCGACGTTGACGATTAGCACAACGCCCGACTTTGATACCGGTAGAGTTGAGTGGAATATAAATTTCGCACATGTTTGTCAAAACTGAATTAATATTAGGATAGCGAGATTTTTCTTGAAGGTCTTTCACTATTGAATCAACTGAACATATGCAGGTATGTTGGTCTTTATCAATGTTACAGGGTTTCGAATGTGAAGAAGAATCACCATTGCACGTTGGAGCTACATTTGCTATTGTTACAAGAGAATATGTAGAAGTAGGGCCACTTGAGGTTTTTGGAGCGGAAGTTGTAGTTATTAATGAAGTAGTTGAACTAGGAATTGTAGAAGTAAATGTTGAACCAGGTGTGATACTTTCAGTTGATGTTGGTGTAGATATCATTGTGGAACTAGCAGTAGTTGAAACTGTTGTTGCTGCTGAAGTTTTGGTTGTAGTTGTCTCAATTGATAACGTTTTTGTTGCATTGGTAATTTCTGCAGTTCTTTTCAGCATTGTCATAACTGAAACATTTATAGCTGCATTAAATTCGGTAGTTGTAACAAATTCTGTAACATTATTAAAATCAGCAAGCTTCATTTCCCGAAAAGCAAATGAATTGAGAGTTTGATCAAAACTTTCGTTGTCTTCAGAGATATAGTCATCAAATAGTGTAGTATAATACTGTTCGAAATTTGGCACGGGCAATGATGAATTTGGCAAATATGTTGGTAAATCAATATAGACCGGTTGATATGTTCTATCCGTACTGGTGGTCATGTTGAAGCCTGAAAAAGAAGGATCAACATGACCACCATTTCTATAAAGAATAAATTAACTTACTATTACTTCTGTCCACTGGTGTATATCTACAAGTCTCGTTGCTAGATGTGCTAGATGTCTTTGTTTTAAATGTTGAGGTAAATTTCGTTATAGCTTCTGATGCTGAAGTATTTTCTTGAACTCCTTCAGTTATCATATTTGTAGATAAATTAGCAGTTGTTTTGGTAGTTGTGGGTGTAGATGTGGGTGAATTGTGCGGCATGTGATGCATGTTTAAATTTTGATTTTGTTCTTCTATTTTTACCGGACCGTTGGTGCTAAACAATACTTTTGGCATATTAGGTCGTTTGGTCGAAGACATATTTGTGTATACTGCTTCGGTCGTAGAAGACCCTATTATGAGCTTTGTTATATCTGATTGTTGAGAAAATTCTGTTTTATCAGTAGAAATGTCTTTGACCACACTTCCAATATTTGTAAGAATTTGTGAAGTTATTTCCTCAGGTTTTGTTATTGGTGAATCCGTATAATGTAATCGTGCATTTGTTACGTAACTTATTTCTTCTGTTGTTGAATTGATGTGCAAGGTTGATGATTGTGAAGCAGAACTTGAACTTGTTTTAGAATGCAAAGTTGTAGAAGATTGAGTTAATTGATTTGTCACGTCCGCATTGGTGGGAAGCTCTTCACTTGAAGTTAAAAGTTTGTCAGATGGAATTTCTACTGTTGACTCCGTGGATTGTATGCTAAATTCAGTTGTTGGGCTTTGTTGCGTAAAAACTGATTGGATGGAAGCAATAGACTCAATTGTAGAAATTGTAGACGTATTTGTAGCATATTCTGTATTTGTAAGTATTTCTGTAGTTGTTTCTTGGGGTTTTGTTATTGGCAATTCCGTATAATGTAATCGTGCATTTGTTACGTAACTTATTTCTTCTGTTGTTGAATTGATGTGCAAGGTTGATGATTGTGAAGCAGAACTTGAACTTGTTTTAGAATGCAAAGTTGTAGAAGATTGAGTTAATTGATTTGTCTCGTCCGAATTGGTGAAAAGCTCTTCGCTTGAAGTTGTAAGGTTGTCAGATGGAATTTCTACTGATGACTCCGTAGATTGTATGCTAAATTCAGTAGTTGGGCTTTGTTGGGTAAAAACTGATTGGATGGAAGCAATTGTAGAAATTGTAGACGTATTTGTAGCATATTCAGCATTTGTAAGTATTTCTGTAGTTGTTTCTTGGGGTTTTGTTATTGGCAATTCCGTATAATGTAGTCGTGCATTTGTTACGTAACTTATTTCTTCTGTTGTTGAATTGACGTGCATGGTTGATGAGTCTGAAGCAGAACTTGAACTTGTTTTAGAATGCAAAGTTGTAGAAGATTGAGCTAATTGATTTGTCACGTCCGAATTGGTGGGAAGTTCTCCGCTTGAAGTTAAAAGTGTGTCAGATGGTGTTTCTACTGATACCTCCGCAGATTGGGTGCTATATTCAGTTGTTGAACTCTGTTGTGTAATTACTGCTTCTGTGACAATATTAGATTTAATTGCAGAAATTGTGGAGGTAGCATATTCTGTATTTGAAGAAGAGCTGCCTAATTCCACGCTTGAGAAAATGGTTTCATCACTGGTTAAACTGTCTGTGCTATGCGAATCTATTAAATTACTGGAAGTATTCATGTTTAACTTGGTATTTTCTAGAGTATTTGATAGTGCATTTGTATAATATACTTCGGTTGAAGAAAACGAACTATCGGTCTGAAAACTTGAAGAATTCGTAAACTGTTCCGTTCTAATTTGTGTAGTAAGTTCTGAAAATGGTGTTTCTGTCTCAGTTGTTGAACTTATATGATTAATTACAGATTCTGCAAGGGTACTAGAAGTAGGTGTAGAAAGTCTGGAAGTATCTGTTGAATATTCACTTGCGTTTACGTTGGAAGGAAGTTCTGTCTTTGTAGATGTTTCCACTTTTGTAGTAGTTGTAATTATTTCGGATGACTCTGTGGCATCATTGGTTGTTACACTGATTTGTAATATTGTACTTGTTTGTGGTTGTGAGTTTAAGTCAACCATCTTCATATTTTGTGACCCTTCACTTTGTGTACGTTCTGGCGTTCCGTTCCCTGAATTTTCTTCATCTGTTTGTATTTGTTCGCTAGTCCTTGTAGAACTACTAGAAAGAGTTGTTGCTGTTTCTAATCTGTTTTCAATAGTTATGGTTTCAGTAATGGAAGTCCCTGCTTCAGTTTTATCTAATTTTGTACTAATAACATCAGATTTTGTAGAATCAGTTATACCCGTCCCTTCAGTTATTGCAGTGTCTGTTGTTACACTTACAAGTGATGCATGATTCTCGTTTTCAGCTGCTTCTAGCAACATTTTTATGTTTACTGGGAAAGAAATGTCTTCATTAGAATTTGAAACTATACCAGTTGCCGGTGTAAATAGCATTATTACTGGTGTAACGGTGACACGGTTCGCATCAGTCCCTTCAAATAGTTTTGAAGATGATTCCATTATGTTTGACGCACTCTGTGACATTAACTGTTCAGAACCTGTAGTACTGATCATTTTCTCTACAAAATTTAAATTTGTTAATTGTGAATTTTCGGTAGTCATCGAAATGGTAGAGACGTTTTCAGTAATATTGACCGCTCCAGCGTTAATAGCATTGCCAATACTAATTTCAGTTTCGGTTTTGGTAGACAAATCGGCACTTGGGGCATTAAAAATAGTGCTGATAGTTATTTCGGAATAATGAGTGGTGTTGCTTGGTATTTCAGAAATATTTATTAATGCTGTTTCGGAAGTATTTGAAGTACTGCTTGGGAAAAATGCAGTACCTAATGAAGTGGCATTTTTGAAATAAAATGCTACTGTTAGTACTTATTTTTTCTTTTTCGCGGTCTCCATTCTCAGATTTTACTTCAGCAGTTGTTTGTTGTATCGACAGTGTCGTTTCAGTGACACTGGAAGTAGGTGTGCTGATTCCTATTGTACTGCTTAAAATTCCGTTTGAGTAGATAACGTAGTAGAAAAAATATCAATTTCACTTCGGTGCATTACGGTAGTGTTTATATTTCCTGAAGTCTCGGAGACAGTGCCTGAACTTGGGCTTCCAACAATAGTACTTGACTCAGTAGAAATAGTCATGACTTCAGCATTTGAAGTATTAATGCCCCAAAATATAGTTGGAGTATTAGTTGTTTCAACCACAGAATCATTAATTATAATAGCGTTAGCACTTTCTTTGAAATTTGGCGGAGTTGTAGGCACTCTGGACGTAGAAGTGTTTGTTGTATGTTTATCTACAGTAGTTACTAAATTACTTGTAGAATCAGTATGACCAATATGTTTTATTTTGTCTATCATTTTGTTCAAAGCATTTTTATCGATTTGGTACCATTTATTCTATTTTTTCTGTAGGCTGATTCACGTTTGTAGTCTGCGTTAGTTCTTTTGAAAATGTCATTTCAGATTCTGATTTTTGTGTAGATTCTGATACTAAATGACTTAGCATTATAGAATTTGTTGAAGTTGTTAATTCTATAGATGTTGATATAACAGATGATTCAGTCGAAGTCTCCAAACTGGATTTAACGCTTGACTTTTGTAAAGTACTTGGACTATATTTAAGAGTACTCAAGGTTTGTTCTTCTCCATGACTCCATGATTTCGGAATGGTTGCTTCATTATTTATAGCACTTTTAGTGTCTGAAACTCTCTGAGTTTTTGTGGTCAATAATTCTAAGTCTAATTCTTCAGGTGTCGTGCTACAGTTGTTGGTTTTAAGATAAAGTATGTTGATTTTTCGTCATTGTCGAAATCCGATAAAATGGGCGCCCCACTTTTAGTAGCCCCTCAGTTAACATATACATATCATGAGCTACCGGATCTCTAGTGGTTGCAATGGAGCCGACTTCAGACAAAATTATAGTAAAATTGTTACTTTCAGGTTCTACATCAGAGTTTAAAATGTTTTCCGTAGAATCATAAACCGATAATGAACTGAATAAGGTTGTCAATTGATCATCAATCTTTGAAGTAGTACTTGTAAATAGACTATCAACTTGGTTCAGTGTTGTACTTCTTTCTTCGATCAATGTTGAAGAATTGAAGAACGGTTGATTTTCATTAGTTGTAGTAACCTCAGATTCCATAGACATATTTGTAGAAGTTTCGGTTAATAGAATGTCAGCAATAAAGGTGGTAATATTGCCCTGGTTTTCACTTAAAGCTGTTGTTTCAAGAAAATCAGTACTTGTTTTGTTTTCTAAATCATATGTTGGTAAAGTTGTTTTGGTTAAGAAAATATCAGTGATAAAATCAGTAACATCATCTTGGTTTAGAGTTAAACCAGTGGTTTCATCAAAAACCGAACTAATTTTGTTTTCTATATCATATCTTGATACAGTGGATTCCATAAAGCTGGTGCTGACCACTTCTAAAATTTCTGATGCAGTTTTAAATATTTCTGTTCTTTCTGTAATATTTGATACAATCGTATCATTTATTTTGGACGAGATTAGTTTGCTACTAGTATAGTCTGAAAAAGTCGGGTACCCAGATGCAATTTCAGAAACTATAGATGTTTCTGGCATAGACGTTTCTGTTTCCATATTCGTGATTATCGTTTGTTCATTATTACCAGTATACTCGGAAAAAGTCGAATACTCAGATACAATATTTGAAATTGAATATGTTTCTGATATAGTCGTTTCTGAATCTATATTCGTTATTTTTGTTTCTTTATTACTACCAGTGTAGCCGGAAAGAATCAAAGACTCAGATCCTATTTTAGAAACTTCAGATGTTTCTGATATAGGTTTTTCTGCATCTATATTTGATGGAGTAAAGATTTCTTCTATTTTTTTGGTCGTAGTTTCTGTATTCACTGAGGTATTATTAATTTCTCCACTGCTAATAATTTCAGAATAAACGCTTGATCCGTTGTCCAATGTGCTACTAAACAGAGATTCCTCCGTGTTACTTGAAATAAAGTATGTACTTGACTTTGAATGATCACTCGCATCAAGAACTTGCGAATCAATTCCAGGAATATTAGAATTTAAAGTATCCACACCCTTTGTAGACGTTTGCATTGTCAACCCACCTACACTGGATTCTAAAACGTCGTCCACATTGAGAAATTGTGATGAAATTTTTTCATGCAAAAAATTGTTATCACCCGATGGAGTGGGATGATTTTTATTTTCAATAACCATTGGTGGAGTACTTTCCTGGACAGTATTTGTCTCTTTGCTAATGCGATTTTCTGTTGATATTTTAATTTGTGTAGTTGACGAATTGTACTCCTCAGATTGAGTAATGGATGTTTCATTGGATTGATTATTACTTTTAGGTGTGCCACTTATATTTGTTGTTTTGCTTATCTTGTTATTTTCGTGTTTATTAGTTGTTGATGAAAGGTATTCCTCAGCCTCAGTAATTGTTGTTTCATTCGAATGGCATGAAATACAATCGAGTGTCACATTAGATTGATCATGCATTTTATGTGTGTCCTGTTTATATGGCGTTGTATTTATCGCATCGTCTTCATGCTTATAAGTTGTTAATGGAATGTGTTTCTCAGATTCATTTTGATCGTGATTTTCAGATGGTGTACTTTTATATTTTGTTGTACTTAACTCCGTATTTTCATGTTTAGAAGTTGTTGATACGTACTCCTTGGTTTTAGTCAAAGCGGCTTCATTGGGCATTTCATAAATATCATCTTCAAAAACATAAGTTATTTCGGTTTCCGATTCAGAAGAAGTGTGCGTAATTAGAGTTAAATGTTTTTCTGAGGAAGTTGATGGTTTCGTATTATGAGAACTCATTTTTCCTCCGTTGTATATTCAGAAGCATGAATTAAAGAATTCGTTAATTGTGAGGAATCCATTAAATCCTCTTCTTCATCTGGACTTGTTACAGTTTCACCGACATAAGGAGGAAGAGTCGATATTTTAGATTTTCGACCCAACCAATTATGCTTGTGTTTATGTGTTGTTTTAGTTTTTGGTTCTACATACTCAACAGTTGTTTTTAGCAAATCTGTAGTCATTTCTACCGATGTTTTACTAATCTCCGTAATATTTGTATCGTTCCCACTATCGTCTTGATTGCCATAATCTAAATCTTCTGAACCTACGAAATCTGTAGACGCCACAGTAAATGTAGAACTTGATACTATAATTCTTTCTTCTTTGGCTTCTGCATGTGTCTTATTTGAAAAATGAAATTTAACGTTTGGACGAATTGTGTCTGTTGCTGTACTAAATGATTTAGTAAGAATTTCTGCATTTGTTAATTTCTTAAATTCAGAATCTGTGACCGATATTTTATTTCGAAGCGTTGTATTTGAAGTTGGAACATTTATTGAAGAATTGTGGCCGTGTTCAGGAATGAACTCACTTCCTATATAATATTTACCATGATCTGCTTTGAAACCCGACCCCGATGAATATGCTTCATGTATGTGATGCTCTTTAAGTTTATTGTTAAAATTATCGCTTTTGTGAGGTTTATTTGGAAAGTTGGGAGCTTTAGTTGTTCTTAATTGTTCTTGTTGTTTCAAAGTACTACCAGTTAAAACTGTAGAAACTGTTCCTGGTATTTTCTCCAGTTCTAATTTATGTGTTCTATCAGACACCATGGATAGAGATGTAGCCGCGTTAGTACTAGATGGAATTAATGTTGTTTCCTTAGAGGTAGTCGTGGTAGTCGTAGGTTCCAAAAATATTGACATTCCGAAAGTTGTCTGATCTTGTAACAAATTTAATAGTGAGGTAGAATACGAGTCTAACGTAATCAAATCTGTCGTGGCTTGAGGTGATGTACTTAAATATTTAAATAAATCAAATGCAGTAGTGTGGTTTTGATTTAATTTTGCAGATGCCAAAGCGTCCTTAAGTATTTCTGGCAAATTTTTTGGAGGACTGGTGCTTGATTGAAAAATTTTTAACAAATCATCAATCATTGCTATTGCATTTGTTGTTGTTTCGATTCCATTTGCAAATTGTTTTGATTGCAAGCTCTGTTCAGTTGTAAAGTACGTTTCAGTATTTCTTGAGTATGTATTTGCCATAAATTCATTTTCTTCAAATGGTTGCATTGTATGACTTGTGGCTTTAAATATGTTCAATGAGTTATCCATAGTAGTTATCACATTAATTGTTTTTTCAGCGGCTTCAGTGGTTGAATTGACTTCTACAAAAGGAATTAGTGATGATGGAGATTGGAAATTTTGTAAAGCTAAAAGAGAATCCTCCTTGGTATATGTTGATATATTGGAAAATGTTGACAATGATTCTGTAGTTTTTGACTCAACTACGTTTGTATTCAGGGATTCTGCACCACTCCCTTCAGTTGATGTTTCAGGGAACAATGTAGATTTCTTAATAGTGTCATCACTAAAATAAAGTGAAGATTGTTGTTGTGTTGTGGTACTTAAGGTAGAATCACTTGTTCCAAATTCTGAAATTTCTAATAGAGCACTCGATTTGTCTTCTTTGAGATTAACCGCAGTAGCAACAGTTGATAATATGCCAGAACTATCTGATGAATTTTTAGCAACTGATGTTGTACTTAAGTCGTTTTCCGAAACAGTTGTGACAGTTGCTGATTCCGTGTTTGTCGATTCCAAAGAACTGGTGGTAGTTATATCCAATAATGCCTGAGTACTAACACTAACATCTCCAGTCGAGCTACCTTCATTATGAGATACATTTTTATCCCCGTCTAAAATATTTTCATTGTGTCCATTATTTTCTGTATATGAAACATTTCCTTCTGTTTGATTCTGCTGAAATTCAGATTCGGTTGTAGTATCATTACTGCCACTGTTATACGATTGGGTAGATGTGTTTTCTCCCATCAAAGCAGAAGTACCCATTACTAAAAAAGGCGTGGTAGTTTCAATAATAACGCTTTCAGAACTAGGGGATAAAGAAGTTGATGTACTTTCTGAAATTTTTGTTTCACTTGCACTGATACTTGAAGAAGATAATTCAGTAGAAGAATCTGTCACAGCAGTTGCACTTATGCTATTTGTAGCTGAATCCTTTGTTGATGTAAGTACAATAGTATCAGAGATTGTATTTGAATTTTCTACATCTGAACCAGATGCTTCATATAGCTTTTCTGTACTTATTTTTGCTGGTGTTGTCAATGATTCTGTTATAGGCACAGTAGTACCAGCACTAGTATGAAGAATTGTACTTTCAACATTTTCAGTAATTTCCTTCACGCCATTCAAAGAAGATGTGATATCATTAGCAGTTATTGATTTCGAGTTTAAGCTACCAGTTAACTTGTCAGTAATAGTAGTCGAGTTAAACATTTTAGCGGAAGTTGTTTGTTTTTCCAAAAGAGCATCGTCAATATCCTGGGTATTTAAAAGCTCATTACTCACAGATGTAATGTTATATAAGCCCGCTGTAGTCTTTGACTTCTTTCCAAATCTCCACATATGATGTGATTTGTTGGAATGTTGTTTATGCTTTTTTGTTGATACTCTTATGGCATTTAAAAACATCTCATCTTCTTCAAACATCGTTGGTATTGTAGTAGATCCTTCATCAACAGAAGCTAAATATTTTGAATTTTCTGACATGTTTTTGCCAGACATTAAAATAGTAGTCCCTTTCACTTTCCCTTTGGGACCATCCTCTGCATCTACATCCTCAAGATCTTTCTCGTCATCGTTCATATATTCGACAGTAGCCTTGGTAATTTCATCTTCTTCTAATGCATTTGTAGTTTTTTCAACGTCTGGAGAAGATTTTCCAATTCTAATTGTTTTATCTGCTACTAATTGAATAGTTTGCAATTTACCGTATTCGTCGGTTGATCCAGCATTCACTGAGTTTTTATCATAAGTTTGATCTATTATTGAAATACCAGTGGTTTCTTGGAAGTTAATTTGGTCAACAGGAGTCAACATGTTTTGATCATCTGGCAGATGATCTGGAGGAGTAGGTTTCCAATTTGTTGTATAAGGTATTTTAATAGTAGTCATAGAAAACTCAGCTTCACTTGGAAAATTTCCTGTAACTGTTACTTCCTCTTCTTTTGAATGTGTTTTATCAGTGGGTATTGTAAATTTTTCTTCTAAAAATACTTCATTTTCATTAAGTTTTGATTGAAAATCATCTCCATTTTTAGATGCTGATGATTTTGGTAATAATGTAATGATCGTAGGAGCTTCCGGAACATCATCCAAAATTTTTGAATTCATCGTAGCAGTTTTAAATTCATTTACAACTATAGTTTTTGTACTAATGGGATTAGCCAATGTCGCAAAAACCGGGGGCGAATATTGTTTCAAACCACTTATATAAGAATCACCTTTATTTTCGATATCAATGTTAGTCTGGTCGGTAGTAGTTATAAGTAAAACATCCGACGGGGTATATACTTTTATTCCATTATTAAAAGACGGACCTACCGAAGCTTTAAAATCAGTGTCAAATATACTACCACTAGATGTTGTCAACGGAAGGAAACGAAAACAGGTGGAGAATATGTTTTAATCTCACCTATGTGTGAATTTATTGTAGAACCTTCCTGATACTTAGAATTCATGTTGGCCCCAAATGGTGACACGTTTATAGCATAATTAAAAGTTGCCTTATTGTCTATTGAAATAGATGAATCTTCAGGTTTCAATGACGAAAACTGAATTTTAAATTTTTCTGTTGTAACTTCTGGTTTATTCAACATTTCTACAGTTGTTTCCAAGCTATTTTGATCCGAAGCATTAGATTCCATATCTGTGTTCGCAGCCATTAAATTTTTCATATTTTCCTGTTTATTGGGAACCGTATTTGATCCCGCTACAGTTGTTGGTCGATTGCCAAAGTGTAACGTCCATACTTCATCATCGGTCGCCACTTCATAATCTTCACTCTCTTGGTTAGTATTGTGACTACCAATGATTTTATCAAGAAAATTGCGTTTATTCCGATTTTTTCTTGACCGTCCCCAATGATGATGCTTCATAAATATGTACGGATTGTAGTGAATAGAACGATTAGCTCTTAAGTTTGTTTGTGTCTTTTTTTGCCTTTTGAATCGACTGAGAATTTGGAAAGTCTTGATCTAAAAAACGGTTATTATTCCGATTGCCCGTCAACCCAAACAGTTTCCTCCATAATTTCTTTGGTTTTGTTTTCTTTTTGGGTGATTGATACTCTTCCACATTATTACCATTAACTTTATTATTGTCTCCAAGACTTCTACTTAACTTGGTTTGATCATTATCAAACCCAAAATTTTCTTCACCAAACTCATCAGATTTTGGTTTCTGGTTTTCATCATTAATATTTTTGTTTAAAATCAAAATATTTCTCTTCAGACGATTATTTTGACGTTGTTTAATTTTTTGAACAATCATTTCTATTTCTTGTGCAACCGATAAATCTCTTTGTAAACGACTTAAACGATCCTGATCGGCATAATCATAATCAATTTGATCGAGAGATTCACTCTGTGGAGATATTTTAGTTTTAGCAATACCACGTTTCGCCATGTCACGAAATTCTTGATCAACAGGCATTATAGGCATACCATCAGCACGTTTCAATTTAGCGTTTTGATTTGAAATAATTTTAATCGCTAATCGTTGGAGCGCTCCTTTTTCTGCATCACTTAAATCAGCAAGTAAGTCACCGCCACCACCACCATTTCCATGATTAAGGTCAGAGCAAGAAAGTGTTGTAACTTCACAACGCGTTGCCAAATCCAATTGCTCTTGGGCTGAATGTAAAGGATCTACTGCATCCGCAAGTTTTTGATCAACCATTTTCAAGTTCTCAATTACGGAACTCACTACACATTTATCAATCGATTTTTTAACCACGCGGTCTAATTGTGTTGGAGGTGCAGGCGTTGAGAATACATTTTGAATAGCACTTACCTGATTTGCAGAAATTGAAGCAGAAGGGTAAGTATTTTGATAATTAGAAGGATTTTGTGTAGATACAATTAAATTTAGCGCTCGCTGAATATCAGAGTTGGGAATAAATGAAGGTGGTTGTTGAAAACCGAAACTAGGTGGTGTGTGCATATTAGTGTTAGTCAGTGTAGCAGTGATTTGTCGTTTATCTATGTTAAGTTTGTTTTTTGCTTTTTGTTTATCATGGAGTTTCTTTTTCTTTTTCTTTTCAGCCTGGCAACTCGCCGCTTTTTGTGCTTCTTTCGCTAAATTCAAATCACAAGGTTCTACCTCCTCTTCATCACTTGGCTCACACACACTTGGATGTAACTTATCACACGAACTTGACTACAAATAAAATTCTAAGTCTAAATAAATATCTTTAAACGTATCTAAATAACATACCTTTGTAGTAGTAGATACTTCAGTAGTAGTAAAACTACTCGGACACTTAAAATCAAGTGATGTGGTCGGTGTCTCATCATTATTGATAATATTATAACCCCCTGTACCTCCTTCTTCATTAGCTAGTTTGTTACAATCACCAGCGGTGTCGTTGTAAACCATAAAATTTTGAGTCAACTTTTTACATTCTTTACCTTTACACACTGGTAGATTCGTAGTTTCACCACCAACGGAAACAGAAGTGGTAGGTGTCTCAATGGTAGTCGAAGTTTCCATTGTTTCCATATCTTCACGGATAAATTTTTGTGGTGTACTTTGAAGGTGTGCAAACACAGTTGGTGTTATAAACTTCGCTGCTGACATTCGTGACATAACATCTTTTTTATACTTAACATTCAGTTCTTTAATAATATCATTCTCCCATCGGTACGGGTTACTATTATAACTTGGTTTAATTTCAATTTTTGATGTGGGTGTAACTGAAGAATGTCTTTCGGAAACACCACTACTAAATTTCGTAACAAGATGATTGCCATCAGAAGTTGTAGCCATCGTAGATACAGAATTAGGGTTTATTGAGGATGTGGGTGAAAAACTTGTTTGCATTTTCTTGGATGCAGCAGGTACCTTACTACTTGATGAACTATGTGGTATATTTGTAATATGAACAACCGGTATGGATTGTTTTCCTTTATTGATGATTTCTCCATCGGTGTCATGTGGTCGATCTTCGTTGATATTCACCGGTACCACTCTTAACAATTCTTCAAGTCCCCTGGGCACAGGTTTATCTTCTGCTTCACGTTTTGATCGTTTTTGAATTTCCAACGGCACCAACGGCAAATCATTACCTTCAATAGAATCTGAGTAAAAACCATCAGCACCAAAAAGTGGATATTCGTCATCTGAATGACTAATTTGACTAGATGATCCTTGATTTGTAGAAGAACTTCTTATATGTTTTTCGGTATGTGCCGATACAGTACTTGAAGGTATTGTCGCCACCTTTCTTGGCGAATTTGTAGTCTTCATACTACTGATTTGTGTTGTAGTCACATCTGAATTATCAATCTTTTTCGTTCCCAATAAATCTAAAGTTGTACTTCGTGGAGTCGTCAACACTACCATTAAAGTCGCTGCATAATTTTGCATTTTTAAGTTAATGTCATTTGTTGCATCAGCTAAATGACTTAAGTACGAACCTCCGTGTGGTGTCACAATCGGTAAGTAAATATATCGCTTCCTTTTGTTTATGAACCGTTTACTTCTTGCCTTAAATAGTTTCATACGAAAACTGATAATTCTATTCATGTCATCACTGTAATTTGATATGTGTGTGTCTGTGGCTGCTGAACTTCTAGCTGTCACATAATTTTCACTTGTAGATGGTATATATCGACGTGTTATTTCTTTTGGTAACTCAAGGTCCAAATTAAGATTTCGAATTTTATCGAGAGAGTTTCGAAAAGTAATATCTGACTTTAAATGTGATGGTTCTGGTTCTACAATGTCGGCAAAGTCAGCAATTTCGTCAAAATCGATGGCGCGCTTTTGCACTTTCCCGTTGCATGTGATGTTCGTTGTAAAGTTGTACACGAGTATGAGCATTAACGCATAAAAGCTGTAATAACACAAATTAGCCCTTAATATCCAGTTGGAATTAGATGACTTACCATTTTACATGCAAACGCATCTGATATATGGCAAAGGGCAGCTAATTGTCATTATTTCGCAATGTGATGACTGCCTGCCACACTAAAGATTATTAAATAATTGATTACATGTATTACGGACACTTTTACACGACTCTTTGCGTGCTTGCAATCCGCAAGACGAAATATTTTATTAATTGATGTATAAAATGTCTTTCTAATCACTGTCAAAATTGTTTTCGAATCCCCACAGGCGTCACGTACGTTTGTCTGACGTATAACGTCTTCGATCCAATTAGCGGTCGTGTTAATCGTGTTATCGGCTTCACGGATTGAGTGGATAGGAGTTCACTGTGCGCAAATATTGGCACTTCATCAAATAGCACACAGACCATAACCAGAATTGAAACAAAATCCGTATTACTCAATTTCAGTAATAAAAACAATTAATTTTGTTGCATGACAGGTGTATGATTAATTAATTCCTACTATTAATATTACTATAGTATACTATAGTGATTAAGCTAAAATAAAAACAATCGAAGTAATTTTACGAACGCAATGTTTGGATGTGTGCGTGCCGCAGGTGAAAATGAACTTTTCTCACAACAGGACTTCCACCCACGCGCGCAAATCCGAGCTTTTCTTTTAATGAAAACAAAGAGCAAAGTCAAAGATGTAAAGCCGACGACGGACAAATCGCTGAGAAACCAATAAAGCAATGCGACACTCATGGAAAGAGAACCATGCTCTCCCTTTTTGTTTATCGTACCTTCGAAACCCTGCAATTCTATATTTCAACGTCTGTCGCATCCCATTTGTCAGAGAACAAAGCGCATGAAAAACCACACAAGTCAATTAAGGCCATAAATATAATATCCTGCGGCGATAATGTGGTAGCGCTTTTTTTTTGCTTCTTCATAACGACTTGAATTAATAAATTTGTGAAGGATATTAGAGAGAAATATAATCTCTAAATTTAACTAAGTATAAAACAGTGCGTAAACGTTATTATCTATTAATTTGATTATATTTTCGCCATATGCTGCTGGTAATATGAAGTGCTCCCGTTTGTTTAGTCAAACGCTGATTTGTCAATTCGTGCAGGTAGCCACGAGCACGATAGCTAGGCAGGGTATAAAAGCGGAAAAGCAACGCAGACGTTTTCAGTCCGAGTCTACCTGTCGGGAAATTGATATGGTCGCGATATCGTTCTAAGCTTTCTACAAATCTTAAACCATGGGTTTTATGTGCGTAGTCCTTGTTTTGGTGTTTCTGGATTTTACCTGTGGCAATCCAGCGCTCAACATAAGTAAGTGCCTCGTTTGAAATTCAAAATACAAATTAATTTCATTATAATTCTGTCTCCATTGCGCAAACACTCTTAGACGATTTTTTTACTTCTTTGTAATTTCCTCCGTGTAGACAAACACAATTTAACTTATTCAATTACAAGTTAAGCCCCAACCCTCAAGGCAGATTACCTTAAATAGCTATTACACTAATATTCAGATTCCCTGCGTTTTCTTTACCCGTCTGTTACACCTACAGTTCGTTATCGGGAAGATGTCGACGAATGGTTGAATAAAGTGGACAACGATTTGCTGGAGTTTAATCAAATTTGTACAAAACTAACTTGGGACATGATGGTTTACGGAGCGGATGAGAACGCAAAAACTAAAACGAAAGCAATCGCACAAGCGCGCCTCGCGTGGAAAAATAAAATATGCGATGTACATTTTAATTCCGAATTATTAACTGATGAACAAAAGCGGAAATTATATTTATTGTGCCGTGGACCAAAATTTACGGAAGCATCTGCTAAGTAAGCATTAAAAAAATCTTAAAATACTTTTTTGATGAATACTGTCTTCATATGTTACTATAATATAGAGTGGAAATGGAAGTATTAAGTTTAATGCATATGGCGTATGATCTACAAGTGTGTTTCAATTCATCGGCTCCCACGCCATTGGAAAAATTACGAAATCCTGAACAAGATAATTTTGGATATCCGCAACCCGGTGAGTGTCTAATGGCCGAACCCGATTTAGAATATCTCATCAAAAGACAAGATTTCAATCCGGACCAATTAGCATTTTTGTGGTATACATTTTATGATAATATCGCATCTTCAATGCGAGAAATATTCCCGAGAGTAGTAAAAAGTCAAAACATTGTGGCATCTGCAAATGGATACGAAGACATGGGTGCTTTATGGCGTGATGAATTAGAAATGCCTGATATTGAACTTCAAGTAGAAGAGTTCTATAGAGAGATTCGTCCACTCTACGAGATTTTTCATAGCGTCATCAGACACAAGCTACTCATAAAATACGGACGAGAACAAATTGATCCGACGGGACTCATCCCGATTCATTTAACAGGTGGGTTGTAACACAATAGTTAACAATGGAATATAATTGAATACAATGTATAACCAGGTAATATGTGGGGTCAGAATTGGGGAGCTTTGATTGGTCTATTCTTCAGTAGTAACAAAAGTTTAGATTTGGACAAACGACTTAAAGAGAAAAACTGGTCGGTGAGTGAAATGGCAGAAGAGGCTGAAGATTTTTATACATCGCTTGGTTTACCGGCGATGACAGATAAGTTTTGGAAATATTCAATTTTTGAAGAACGTGAGAATTCCACAATGTGTCATGGTACCGCAGCAAATATGTTCAATGATGATGATTATAGGTACATATAGATTATATATAAACATGTTTTAATATTAATGTAAAAAATCTTTGATAATTGAAATATTTTTGTAGAATTTTACTTTGTGCAAAAGTAAATATGGAAGATTTTTATGTGATTCATCATGAGATGGGGCATATTGAATATAATATGGCTTACGCTCATCAACCTGCTGTTTATCGAGTAGATATTTATAGATTTTTGGCAAAAAAACGCGAAATAAAAATATACTATGAATGTTACAGGAAGGAACAAATTCTGCATTTCATGAAAGTATTGGTGATGTAATAATGCATGGTGTAATGGTACCACAACATTTGCATCGGTTGAATTTGCTCACTGACGAAGAACTCCTCTCTCCAGATATCGATATGTTTCTATTACTGCATCAAGCGCTCAGTAAAATACCCGAAATACCGTTTGGTCTCTTAGTGGACGAATACAGATGGAACATATTCAACGGAAAAATTGCTGAGGAAAACTACAATAAAGTATACTGGAAGATGAATGAAGAACTACGCGGTATCAAAGCACCTGAAGTACGCAGTGAAGAGTTTTTCGATGCAGGCGCCAAGTTTCACGTTCCTGATAACACCCCATACATACGGTATTACAAACATACAGGGCGATAGCAAACGCTAAGAACACATACTCCTTCTTATCTTGTATTGCTCATATGCAATGTTTGTATATATGGCATGATCTATAATTATAGTATGCACTTGCATTCGTACATACATTGTAGTTTCATCGTTTTGCAACTGTAGTATATCTGAAGAAGCAATTATTTCGATCTAATTGGAATTTATTTTCTATAGATACTTTCTGAGTAGCATCCTACAAATGCAAATCTTCAAGGGACTATGTGACTTGTCCTTATTTGGGAAATTTCAAAATGATGCCGGCGCTTCGATGAAAGCCGAGGAGATTAAGATGCCGTTGCATCGCTGCGATATATACGGGTGCAAAAAGTGCGGCAAGTTGTTAGAGTAAGTGTTTCGATGCTATAAAAGTGTACTCGCAACATTGTACACAATACAAAATGGAGATGTAAAATTAGTACACAGTAAGTTAATTTCATTTCGTTGGTGTTTGTTTTCAGGCAAGCAATGTCATTAGGTGTGAGTGTGCATTGGACCCAGGTGCTCAAAATGCTTACTGGGCAAGACTACATATCGACAAAACCTCTTCTTGATTATTACCTACCCGTGTACGAATGGCTAAAAAAATACGTTGAAGTGAACGACATTCCGATTGGCTGGTAATCGCTCCCCGGTCCCATAATACGCTTCATTCAATTGACTTCTAAAGGAACTATCATGAACTGTCATTCATAAATATATGAGTGGTATAAATAATCACTTTGTTTTAATGTTTTCCTTTATTATATTTTGCTTGCACTATGAATTAATGTTTGTTAATAGACAAATATATCTATAAATATTATTCTTTATAAAGATAATGAACTTTCCTTATGAATACAATATAGGCACGATATTTATGTGTGTGTAAACATAGACACATAGTTAAGTGTATATTATTAAAGAGGCACTAGTATATATATATATATCATAAATTCTTTAAAAACTTAATAAATTAATACGTCCAAAAAGTTTTGTAAGTAAAATTGGCACAAAAAAATATATAATACACGTGTTTTTGGTTAGGGTTCAATAATTGAATAAAAAGCGTTGCAATTAGCACCATTACAGCTTGTTAAGGATCGTATGTTTCTACATACTAACTAATTTATTTCTCCAAGCGAAACGTTTTCGAGGACGATTCTTGCTTTGTGCTGCGCATTGTTTGCACGGTTTTGCGTTCGGTTACTTGTTGGGTCGTAGACTTTGTTATCTTCTGCTGGCCTAGACTGATCGGTTCGCCTGAAAGCTGAGAAGAGCTTTGTTGAAAAGATGACGTTTGATAGTTTGCACCGTTCTTGTAGAATTCAAGAGTTGGTTGTTGCGTGTAAAACTTTTCAGATGCAGTATAAGACATAGGACCAGAAGACTGTTGCATGCTTTCGAATTTATTCGAAACTGTTTTATACCCGCCAGGTATCTTGTACGTATTTGTGCTGGCTTCGCTCTGCATGTAGGAACCTTCAGGCGCGGGATAATCTCCACTTACACCGACACCCACAGGTTTACCAAAAGTGTTGAAAGATTTATCGATTTGACCGTAAATATTAGCATTATCGCGGTTGAATGTTTCGCTTTTCGTCGACGTGGGACTGATGACTGGAGATCCTTGGAAGGATTTTCCTGATGTAGGACTAAAGGTCCTAGACTCATAACTTGGCGATGTTGCAGGATATTGTTTCACAGCTTCGTACGAAGGAGACAAAATTTTCTGTGAACCATCGATAGTAGGTGAAGTGACTGAATACTTCGGTACACTGTCCACGCTCGGAGAGCTCGCAGGGTATTGCTGACGCGTAGAATATGTCGGGCTCACAGGGCTGGCGGACTGATAGATAGGCAATGGCAAAGATGTAGGATATTTTGGTGATGTTGGCAATTGCTGTTGCGGTCGGAAAGCAGTGCTGCTCGTATTATTATTAATATAATTGTTAGCAAATTGTGATGGTTTAATTTCTGGTAGTAAATTAATCGTCGTTGGTTTTCGCAGTGAATTCGTATTCGTACGGTCGATGTTTTGAATGTAGCCGTAGCCTCCGTCATATATCTGTTGTGGTGCATATTGATTGTTACTTGGGCCCTCGAAACTGTAACCGTTTAAATTATTTATAGTGCTTTGATTTAATTCATTAAAATACGTTACTAAGCCTTGGCATGCGGCAGATTAAAATTCAATAAAGTGAGCGTGCAATTAAGTCAAACTACGAAAACTTACCTGAAGCTTAGCGCTAAGTTCTTCTTTAAACGATTTCGTAACAGTAGTTGTTTTAGTCTCAACTTCTACGTGCAACATATCACGGCTGTGCAGATATTTTAAGTTATTGGTGCATTCTTTAGAGCAAAATAATAAATAGACACATCACCACATTAGGATCGCCAGAAAGAAGTATGCAAGCAAAAAAGTGAAACAACACTGACATGGCAAATATAAGTTTTGTTACAAACAGTTAAAATCAAGCAGTTAGTTCGGGTTAGACACACACCTCGACTCACCGCAAAGACGACGTTCCATCGTATCCGCTAATATTGCCATCTGTTTCATCCCCAGAAGTGTCTCCCCCTTTCATTTTATATTTCGCCTGTCGTATGGCGAATAGCATGCCTCTAGCTTCGTCCAATTCGCGCTCAGCCCGTAGCACATTGGCTTGCGCGTCAAGTTCTTGCGCCAGCCCACCCACCATCTTTTTGTTCAATACAAGCGAGCGTTCCTCCTCACTACTTATGGCCTGACGAGCAGCCGCCACCAGATTATCGGTACTCCTGATAACGGCGTTACCTGCCTGCTGCAAACGTCGCGTTGCTTCGGTATCGCCTTCCGCTTTCACCTTGCACGCAACTAATAATTGTGCCGTAGAGCTAGCCACTTGTTTTGCAGAAGAAATCAATTTTTCTTCGCTGGAGTGACCTAGCACTAAACCGTTGGCACTCTCTACCAAGCTGTGCGTGGCTGCAGCTACTAAACGTGCTGCCGAAATAAGACCTTCGGACCATTGACCATCGTCTGAAGAAGACAATGGGGTGCTGCTTATTTTTCCATGATCAATCAATTCACGTTGCGCGGCACTGGCTGCTTTCACTAATGCAGAAGTTGCGGCGGTGATAGATTTGGCAGCTTCCAGAATCATTTCATCAAAGTTTAAAGTTTCATCAAGTTCATTATTCTGAAATAAGTAGAAATAACCCGTTATAGATAAAAACACAGCATCCTAAATTAAGCTTGACTTATTTTCAACAAAATTGGTTGCAATATTATGATGGAGGTATTTGCCAATCACTGTAATAATATGTTTGACTCCTGGGTGCTCAAATACGACAACCAAGAATATCAAACATATCTCACGGTAAAGAGCCGAACAACAATGAAGAACAATCAATATTATTACATCTGAAATAATCGTTAGACGCACACAATGTATATAAAAACTTTACGTTGTTTTAATAATCACCTTGATTGTTTTACGTGGTCGAAGTTGAGCAAGCTTTCTTGCGGCTGCATCAATTGAAGCAGCTGCTCCAAGCAACTCATTCTCAGCAATGACGGTGGGATCTTCCGGATCAACCCAATCGGATCCCTTCAATAAGTTGGCAACGGCAACAAGCTCCGTGCATGATCTTGCAATATTCCTCGAAATTAAAGGCAACGTGTGTTTGGCATCAGCCGAGTTTCCTTGCAAAATGGCAAGTAATAACTCTCTGTATTGTTTGGCACAATCTTCTCCCGCTTCTAAAGTTCTCGTCTTCAAATCTAAAGTTTCGGCTAAATATTCCGAAGCGGATTTACTAATAATCAACATCTCACTAATAACCCGTCTAGAGACATTCGCAGCAGCGATGATGTCGTCCTGTTTGTTGCTTATACCAGCTGACACTGATTTTCCAGTCGCTCTAGTGATTTCTTTGGTGATTCTAATTATATCTTCAGGACTGACGTTAGGCTTACAGCCTTCCAATGCACGAAGTTGACGCATTTCCTGACCAATCGCTTCTACGGTTGCCTCTAACGCACGCGTCCCCCTGGTATGTTCGTCTTCGACAGCTTTCACAGTCTTCAATAACGATGTTACGTTAGTTACCATTACCTGCGCATATAAATAAGAAGATTAGCTATGACCATCTATGTGCCGCTATCTTACGATTTCCAACACACATGCTTTTATTCAATTCATAATTAAATATTTTTGCGGCAAATTGGCGAAAGAATTGCAGTTAGTTCAATTGAATGAAGAATTAGGACAAAGATCGAAGCGCACACAAGAAACACAATATTAGTCAACTTTGTTTGTTGACACAAGAAATACACTAATACATACCGCAATAATAAATAAAATTGTGATGGCTCAAAGTACATAATGAGAATGTTGAATGACACACAAAAATATATTTGGATTTAGAGAGAAAGATATATAAATAGTGAATACTGATATGCAAGAATAAATACGACACACATAACATGGTTTTCGCCTGATATAAGACTAATTAAAAGGTGAATGAAAATGGCAGAAACTGTAATCGAAAATGATTCATGGCTAAAAATGTGATATATACGTAGGAAAACAGGACAGCAAACGCGATTAAGTACATTTTAAGTAGCGATTATACACTGTGAGATGTCAGTTTGTAAATCTGCGTTAATGTTTTCGCAGCTGTCGCTTAATATACGCAGCAATTCTTCCTCTTGGTCAGAAATCCACCAATCGGTGTCTGAATCCGGAACCTGCCAGCCAATTAAAACATGTGTTACAACAAACCTTTCTTTCCACAAGCAGGTAACATCCAGACGCTGAATTTAGTTTATTTCAAGTTTGATAACTTGGCAACGCCATAATTTGATCTGTTGTATGTTTGAGAAAGTGGACTTTAAATGATAACACATGTTTTAATCAAAGTTTGCCCGAAATTAACCCGCTTAGTTTTTATTAATCATTTAAAGTCCACACCAATTGCAAATTAATCGCCAAAATTAATCACCTCGAAACGTGAGTGAAGTTAAACGTAGTTAAATGGCATTAGTTATGAGCAATAGAATTACTACACACCTTTGCGCTGTCCTTCAAATGCGACATGGCTGGATCGTTGACTGGTTTGCCGCTTGCAGCCTTGGTAGCTTGAATCAAATCACCCAATGCGCTGGCAACATCTTTAACTGCATTTATAAGCATCACCTGCGAGTCGGGATTGTCAACCCCGAGACTGGCAGCTCCAAACTTAACCACTTCTGCTAGTTGAACTATTTAAAACCAAGACAATAAATATAAATATACGCTGGATTAATTTAACTGGTTAAAAATTACCAATAGTTGTAACAGCATTCTGTGCAGCTACAGCGAGTTGTTCTTGACTGGACGCGGCGCCAGCTACAAGAGTTTTCGTATCTTCAACCAAAGCCTTCGCAGTTTTCAGAATATTCTCTCTATGATCAGCAAAAGATTCTCCTTCATTTTCAGGATTCAGATTACCAGCAGTGGCAAACATGATTGTGGTATCAAGATCTCCGATAATACCAGAAACTGTTGAAGCAGCATTAATGCATGCTTGCGTTCCACGTGAACCAGATTGTAAAGTAGCAAGAACACGTGCTACCTTTTCGGCGACATTTCTTGATGCATCCCCAATATCTCGTAAAGCCATTTCATCAGCTCGAACTTGACATTCCCCACTACTACGAGTTAATTCAACGCATGCACCTCCCAAAGCTTGAACTGCTTCTCTCAGTTTCATTGAAACTTCAATATTTGTCGAAGCAGCCGATGCACCAATGCAATCATTAGCTAATTGGGCATATTTATGTTGTAAATCAATTGACAACTGTCCGAGACTAGCCGGGTCAGTTGAAGCTTTTGTGGCCATATCTCCCGAGATTTTAGCAATATCTCTAGCGCATTGTACCATTCTAGTATGGAAGTCAGCATATGATGTATCACCATCAGTCAAAATCAACGATGCGCGATTATCGGTCAACTTGCTCATCGACTTGAAAATCGTCTCAACCACGCCTTGAACGATCCCGCTTTGCATCGACAGTGTCTCTACATTAGATCCAAGTTCACTCAAGCATTCCTTAACAATATTAACAGCTTCATCAACTTCTGGATGTAATTTAACAGCTTTCGGATTACCACCGCAATCTTTAGCGGTGTAAACCAACTGCAGCGCTGATTCAGTCACACTTTTCAACTGATTAAGCAATACTTCTTGTTGCTTGGAATTGTTCAAGTTAGAAGCAGCGCCAATACCACCCTGAATTAACGGCTCGAAATACTGTACCATTTGATGAATGCCATGGCCCAAATGTTCTGCCTCAAATTTGGCAGCGTGTCGAATGCTATCCACGACGTCGGCCAACTCAGCCGCTGAACGCCCAACCTGTTGATTGTACGCTGGCAGAGTTACGCCCCTACGAGGTGCAAAAGTTTGAGTGCACACATCCATATAGGCAGTGTCAATAGATTTCAAGTGCTGAGCCAGCACTTGCTCAGCTTGGTCGCAATCGGCTTGTCCGGGAGCTTTGTCGCGGATGCTAGATGCCAACTTTATCATCGAATCGGAAAAGCCCTTTGAGTTGGTGGCAAATGACTGCCAAGTACTTGGATCTTTCGACATGAGAACCAAATTCTTTGAGGTGTTAACCACCGAGCATGAAGTATCGATCAGGCGTCTGCCGGCTTGCAAAACTGGTTCCTGCGCTTGGCGAGCTTGGGCTGAAATCTTGGCTGGTACACTTACAAATTCACTTGAGTTGGCGTAAACGTATAAACTATCAACGGCCTCTGCAATGAAACATTTATAAATGTTATCAATTTAGTAATAAAAATACAAAAATTTAAAAAAACATCAAAACAAGATTAATAGATTTCTTTGCTTCGTAGAATAAGAAATCTATAGTTATATTTAATTAAAATTGTACGCGAATTCAATTACCTTTTGTTTCAAACATACAAGTAATGATATTAAACAAAATGTAATTCAAATCACCTACATTTTTAAATAAATAAAATTAATATGATTAAGAAATTCGATAAATAAACAATGTTACCAAGTAAAGGCTTAGTAGCTTCACGGCATTGACGTCGATTGTCCTCCGAATAGTTATTGTCCAGAGCTTTAATGGCTTTCACCAAATCAGAGGTCGAGTTAGCCACGTCACGTGCGCTCTGCACAAAACGGCGCTTTGCAACAGGGTTAGTTGTTTTTGAGCTCGCTGTGCGACAAGCATTACACAAGGCGCTTGTGTGTCTGGCTATTACAGTAGCCGCTGACAGAACTTCCTGCTGCACACTCGAAAACGAGGTCAGTACAGAGCAACCCTTATGAATGGCCTGCGAGGCGCGAGCAAACTGTGCTTGATCTACCAAACCTGGTTTTCCTGCCACTGATGAACTATCTGATACGCCAACCTATTAAGATGAAAGTAAAAGTATAAATATACCACAAAACAGTTAACATTTATTGGACCTACCAAGTAAGCCGCTTGTGCCGCAGCTTCAATCAAACAGCAAATTGTTCCGCTGACTGTTTTCACGTTTTGGCTGAATTTATCGTGATCTGCGGTCTTTGCACTGGATGCAATTCCTTGGAGAGCTTCCCCGAGAACTTTGCTACGTTCAGTGACTGTATCTAGACATTCATAGTAAGTCCATTCATTGATTGGTTCGGTGGGATTGTCTAGAATCGGTTTCATTGCCTGAATGTTACGCATCGCGTTATCGCATTCTGCTTGTCCTGGTGTTGCACTAGTATAAACAGCTAGTAGACTATTGATGCTCTCGGTGACAAAACGAGCAGCATCTGCAAGCTGGTTCCTGCCGTTTGGCATGTTCGGATCGACAGAGAATTGTTTAGCAATAGTTAACAATTCGCTAGACGATTGCGATACAGTGGTTAATGAATGAACCATCTGTCCACGGGTTTGATTATCTTGTGTCTGTCCAGCAAGTTCCATAGATACCTGTAGCAATTCATGATATGCCGAGCTGAAATCCTTACTACTGGATGCCAATTGCGAAGGATTTCTGGCGGTGTTCACCACGTCCGAGCTAGCTGCGTTTAGATTATTTGCGGCGGTGCCCAAATCTTTTTGTAACTCTCCGTAACTTTTTTGCGTGGCCGGGAATTTATTACTGTTGATCGTGTGAGACCATTCTTTAATGCAAGTTATCGCAACATCAACATCACGTTGACCTGGAAGACACGCCAAAGTTTTCTCCAAAGATTTAGTTACTTCCCTGGCGGCAGCTTGCATGTTAACAGTTACGCCTTCATTGCCACTAATGGCGCGGCGCGCTTCATCGACCAACATAGCAGAATTTCCCACGACTTCTTGCCCGGCGTTCACCAGATCGCGTTGAGCTTCTTTATCGTCGATGGTAGCAGCAATCATGCGCACAGCGCCGGTTAAATGGCGCAGGTTTTGTGCAGTGTCTCTGGCCGCTTGCGCTGTGTACGCCTCATTGCCCTGTGAGGTGGCGGTGAGCAGTTGCGAGACGCTCTGATTAACTAACTTGACGCTAGCGACCAATTTTGAAGCGCCCTTCTCGGTGCTATCGCCCGGCAGTGGCTTAATCGCAAAGTTCTCCAGCGCGCGCTCAAACTCGCGCAATTCGTCTTTTAGATCTTCGATAATCTGCGAGGCCGCGTTAAGACCCAAACCCTGGCAAACTGGCTGCGCGCGACTCATCGCTGTGCGCAGTTCAATGATATCCGAGTCGAATTGCTGCGTGGTGGTGCTCAACTGTTGCGATACGTGCAGATCGGTGAGCGTTGGGATTACCGACCGCGAGGATTGCACAAAGTTGGTGGCCGGATGCAGGAACACCTCAGCTACGTACATTAGCTGTACCTGATTGTTAGTATCTTGCGGATCTTCGCTTGAGATTTTAATCGAATCGACAAACGGCGGTATGGTCTCAACAAGTTCCTGCGCATCTGCCATAAGATCCTCCTGGGTCCTTTGGTTGCTATTGAACGAATAACTGGCCTGCGCAACTTGAATACATTGCGTTGCAGTAGAAACAGCGCGACGCGCCGCGTGATTAACGCGTTCTACTAACTTCGCTCTCAAAGCAGGAGTAGAAGTCGCAACAGTTGTAACATCTCGCAAATATTCAGCGCTTGCTCGCAATGTGTCTTGGTATGATATGTCCTGCGGATGACTAGCACATTGGCGTGCTGCTTCTACCATTCGTGCTGTTGCATCAGCCAAGGTTTTTGCCGCCGCTAAGAGTCGCTTTTGCACATCGGAATTATCAGGTTGCTTTTCAGCGTCCGTCTTAATGCTTTCAATAAGTTGCGCAGTCGCTGCGCCAAGAATACGAGCTTGTTTAACCATCTCGTTAGAAGACGATGCTGCCGTCAACTTATCGGTAGTCGCGTAAATCTTTTCAACGCTGCTCTCCTGGATGGACTCCTTCGCCTTGTGATGACCAGCAAGTTTAATATGATTCAATAGATCATTCAAAGTGCGCGTAACATCAGCTGCAGCATCGTGTAGTTTATTCAAAAGATCAGAGTTTCCACAACTATCGTTACAAATGCCTACCAAGTTTTCCACTGCTTTGGAAACCTCACGAACTGCAGTCGTTAGTTGTTCTTGACAAGCCGGTGAATGAATGGTTGGTGCAACAACCTGAGCGCAAGCCACAAGTTGCGATGTAGCTAAAGCGCACTGAGTCGCTGCGCCGATAACTCTATTCTGAACTTGCTGATCTTCACAAGTGTGCGCAATATTTTTTGCGCTCAGGATTAACGCGGCGGTGGTATGTGCCATCGCTTTGGCCAAAGCCATTAGCGTATCTTGCACCTCCCTGCTTTCGACCGTTTCGTCACCAAACGTAGCCAGTACCTGACTTGCCGATTCACCAACACGAGATGCCGCAGTAAGAAGGCCTTGTCTTGGGACCTTTGATTCCGGCTCAGCGGCACGTAACAAATCGCTGAATGCATTAACCAATTTGCGAGTTGCATCCAGCAATTTATCGCCCATATTTGAATCGTCCATGAGCGCTGCGATAACTCGCACATCTTTGGTCATTTCAGGCAAATTAGAGCCGATAGTATTAATTGCCGCACCAACAGCGGTATGATCGATTTCATCGCTTGGACCCGATGTTAAAGTAACCACCTATATATCCGCACAAAATTACTACTTCTTCCGACGTTTAACCAAAAAGTTAAAAACTCACCTGAGCAGTAGCGGCATTCATAGCTGCGATCTGCGATCCGACGTTCTGTTTTCGTGTGTCTAGCGTAACTTGCTTCCATTTCTTCGCTTGTTTATCGGTGCCAAGCTCGGGAAATTGCGCTTTTGTTTCAAGCTCGATGACGGACTCTTCGATTTTCGTTTGCGTTGTTTCGATCGTTGAGAGAAGCGCTCGTTGCGGTTCGGACATAACATTCGTAACCTTCGTTTGTTGAATCTGCAACCACGGAAATAATTAGAAACTCTGATCAATAACTGAGCTTAGCATTCAAAAAGGATAGCCAGGATAGATATTTACAAAGAATTAAAGCGTCTGTACCTACTCGGCCGTGTTCTGTACCATTTCCAAGTTAAACGAAGCATGGAACAAGTTATATTAAGATTAATAAAATTTAGAGCAAATTGGGAGCAAAAATGTTAAGTTGGTAATCAGGAAAAAGAAGTTAAGACATATATCAAACCAAAAATGCAAAATCGACATACCGGAACCGGGGCGTGCGCCTTGTTTGCACTGCCGCTAACAATCGTTTGTTGTGCGTTACCCACATGACCCATACCGTACGGTTTCATACCTAACCCAACCGAAAATAGAACCGAAACAATACAAAAAATAAATAAAAAATATATATTTACAGAACGACTCAAATATACAACTTACCCTCCATTGGTCGCATTACAGCCGGTTTAGCCAATGACAACTCGTTAACTTTACTAGTCTTATGCGTTTCGTGTTGCAAGATTGTCGCCCTAAACAAATTAATAATAAATTATTACATTTTGGTCAATATTGATGATCACGAAAAACATACTTATGTGGTGATACACTGTCTTCAATCATAGTGGAGCCTTCCTCGCCATCAATACCCTGATGATCTTTAGCTTGCTTCTTCTTGAGGATGATATCAATATACCCAGCAATCAATTGCTGGATTTGTTCGGCTTCGGTCGTCTGCACCGAGAAGTATTGATCTGAATAATCGCCAAAGTCCAGTGTGAACGTGCTCGGACTAGCACCCCAACGTTTGACGGTCGTAAGCGGCCAGCACTGCAGCATTTCCTTGGTGTGTTCATCAAGTCGCAAGACGGAATCCTTAGTTACGCCCAACAATCTCGGCACCAACTTATTCTTGCCCTTCATCTTTTCTTTTACCAGGAAGAAAGTGACGCCGTAGGTTTTCAGTGAGCGTGCTAGTTTCGTGTACAAGACTTTTGCGTCCAGGTCAGACAAACCGTTATGTTTTGCGTGTTCCTGGAAAATTTTTCTTTCGACTCCCTTCTTGATAAAGCTTTGTGGAAGGAATTCTTTCAAACTAAACAAATAAATCAACAATTATATTATTGTACTTTAATATTTAATGGGGAAAACATACTCTAGAAGTCCAGGCTTGTGTTTGGCTACATTGAAATTGCCAAAATGAATCTGGCATTGAATACCCGCAAACTCAACGGCTTTGTCAGCAGTGACCGGATGAGTACCGTCAACGATGGCGTTCTTTGCTTGTACATATAGAAGATTCAATTGAACGGGGTCCCGAGAATCGATATTTTGATCGGAGAAGAAAAACTTGCGACGAAATAAAACAGTGACATGTTCATCAATGCCTTGCTCGCGCAGAGTCTTCGAGGTATCTAACCAGTTGACTTCGTCGTCCGTTTTAATAGTCTTGCGTAGTTTTTCCATCTTGTCATCTTTATCGCGCTCTTCTTTCTTGCGGCGAAGTGTAAGCGTGCCATAATTACGAGTGTCCAAGACTTCCATATTATCTTCCTCATCAAAGACCAACGAATACTCGTCGTGATTAGTGATGCCGATCTTCGCGCAGATTACTACCATCAAGTTTGCAACAATTTGCGAGTCATCTACTAAGATGGTCTTGACGGAATCTTTAATCGAAATGATGTAATAGTTATAATTTGTTAGTCAAAAGGTATAAAAACTTACCGTCCAACATTTTGACACGCAGAGTGCGCATTTTGCGGGTATATTCCAAAACATCGCCATTGCTTAGCATATAATATTCAAGACTGCGACTGGGTTCAAGCCAAACGCCGATTTTATTATCATCGGCTGTCAAGAACAAGCCATACTCGTTTGCTATCATAAAACAAAGACAACAAATTAATAAAAGATTTAAAAGAATTTATGGAAAGTTCTTACCTTTCCCCAAATCATATTCGTTACATTTGTCTCTAATAATGCTGCACGCATCGAAAACAGTGGCAGATGACTCGAAAATAATTGTTTTCGTAACGTTGTTCTCGACAATGTTGATGCGCAGAGAAAGTGCCATTGTCGCTTCGGTGCAACAGTGAACTTCCTAAATTCGAAACAAAATGTAATTTTAGACTAATGGCAATATATTCATCGGCAATCGATATCGACAGTCAAGCATTAGCATCGCGGGGGGTGGCAGTGCAACTTAAGAAGTAAGTCAATAAAATCGCAGTTGTGGAAGAAGCAAAGTAGAGGCAAAGTAGAACGTGTCACATAATTGAATCACAAGCACCACCGGCGACGGGCAGCGATCGCAGGCCGCAGGGATGCTGCGTTGCCAGGACGACGACGGCGTTGAACGCGACACGCCGGCGTCGTGCGACGGCGGCGCCTCAATCGATATGTGCAAACCGAGAGGAGAACGCGTTAAGTGATTCGTGTGTGCGTCGCGGCGCGCACCCAGCGCCGGAACACGTGCCCGCCAACGAGAGTGAAAACGGCAAACAAAAACAGAAGTAGGTCGACGAACGCCCGCCGCTGCTCTCTCTAATGCTGCTGCCGCCGCCCGCCCGCATTGAGCGCGCACGTACGTATTTGCACGCACTCGGTGTGCATTCGCAGGTGACCGCAAACCGCCGAGCGGAGAGCCAATTAACAAACCAAAACCGACACGTCGTGAACTTTAATCAAATTATGACAATTACAAAAACTTAAATAAAACTCAACCTATACCTACAAGTAATTGTGGGTTGTCAGCATGGCGTTTGATATATAATAATGAATGCAATTGTTGTTTAAAGTCGTTGATGCGTTAAATATACACAAGTTTGAAGTCTTACCGGTTGGTCACAATCGATGATGTCATAATCGGCCGCTGATCACTGACTACTTAACTTGGCCAAACGCGACTAGAGATCTCTCAACAACTCAACTTGGAATTAAAGCTTGATAAAGTTTTCTATCTTAACAAACACAAGTGAACTTGAACACAAGTTCGATGTTGCTCTTCGGTGGGCAGCTGAAGGCACAGGACCGAGAGCCGCGAAGGACGAGTACGGAATGAAGCAAGTTGGAAATTTCAGCGGGGTTAACTTTCCGGGCGCCCCTCGTCGCGTTTTCGGGGTTGAGCGGAAGCTGCAACCCCATTGGCGGTGGCGCGCGCCGCGTTGGTGGGGAAGCGAGCTTCCGGCGTAAGAACCAATCGGTGTCGCGCAAATCTCGGCGCCAAACCGTCGCGACGCTTTCGAATATTCGACAACTATTCATTACGCGCCGGGCGCGTGCGGCATGGGACGCGGCATTTTTCGGGGTTTAATTTGATTTGCGAAATGCGTTATTTGCGCGACCATGGATGCTGCTTCGCCGCCCCTCGGCCATTGCGACCAGAAGGGCTATAGATCAAGAAAACGGAGGACACCCAGGCACTGCTTCTGCCAAACTGCGTGTCGCACGATTTATATGTTATTTGCGCGAACATGTCGTGCGCGACTACGTGTTACCGATGTTGCTAATGTCCCGGACAAGTTTCGCGGTGAATGTATTTGTCCGGCGGAAAAGTGGGAAACCCAATACAAACTAAATATTTACCCCGTTGCGTAATCCACTTACTCGGATCAGCCGATGTGGAATTGGCGAATGACTAGTGTGTCGTCGTATCCGCGCTGCTCGTACGTTCCGGTCTCACCCTCTCAGAATGGTGATGCCTCCTTGTGTCAAATGCGTCTTTTTTTCTGTTTTACCGAGTTATTCACCTGTAATACACAAACAAATATCGCATTATACAATCATGAATGCAAAATAAACTTTAACAATAATTAAACATTTTCTATGCTTTCTTTTCTGATTCAAACATTGTCTTTTTGAATGACAGCCAAAAAAAAACTTGGATAGCACAGCAAGATTTACAGAACGGTTATGTGTGGATAGTGGATAAGAATTTGGGCATCCGCGATGGCGACGGTATCGGCTCCGGGATGGGATGCTGTGACAGTAAACGGAGGCCGACAGTCGGGCGCCACAACGCCCGAGCCCGCCGCCGCGGCTCGCACTCTCGGTACCGCCGCACACCGCTAGCCGCCGCCAGAGCCAGCCAACTTTCCCATCCCTCTTATTGCAGCACGCAACATTAATGTATCTCTAGCGGCGGCGTGTTTATCCTGGCGTCTGTCGCTCTTCACCGCCAATTCTGTGTTTCTGTGTAACTGTTTGCTCCCACATTATATTTTTTATACATCGCGCAAATACAATGCAATAGAAGTATTCAAAATTTCGACCCTTAATTTTGTGCAATTCGCAAAGGAGCAAACCGGAAATCTCTTCACAATGTAGCAATTTGTACTACCACTACCCCTACCCTATTTTTAATGCACCCGATGTACTTTCCGTCAGTGGTAAAGATGAATAATAGAGATATGCAAAAGGAAAACAACAATATAACTGTTTTGCTTTGGGCGTTTTATCGCCCGCGCGAATCTCATCTATTCGATGCGGGACCGAAAGACGAAACGATATCGGCGCGAAATTAAGTTCCGTAATCGATGCATGAAGAATGGGGATGTTAGCGCGTAGCAGGACATTCGCCTCGCATCCTTCGGCGAGTGGAGCAGTCGCTTGATAATGTCGTGCGATAAAGATTGAGGGTGAACCCGCGCTGCCATAGCGGCGAATTGATGGATACGTTAATGCTGTACACGCTGATGCATCCCAGCGTTGTTCGCCTCCCCACCGCTAATGCAGTCCTGCACTCTTTCCTGCATTGTCACATCCGCAACAAACTGTACATGGGCAAACCCCAAAAGGCAACATGCAAACAATACAGGCATAATTGTTCTGTATTCGCCGAAGAGTGCCTCCCGCCGCGGTCGTGTAATTGGCATAAGAAAAAAACAAGATATATAAAACAAGAAAAAAGCATGCACGGTATTCGTATTCAGCATCTTATAAAACATTTAACCAATTTTTAATCTTCTGTCGCATTATAATTGTTAAATTTTATTATGAAAATTAGTTTGGTGCAGAACATCACCTTCGTTGGCTTGCAAACGCAATGAGTGGTGGCGGGGGGCTAATTTACGAGCGTTTGTTTATAGCAAGCTCGCCGACGGCGACGATAGTTAACAGTGTATCATACTGTGAGCTAACGAGGGGCAAATCGGTGCGCGTCGCGACGCACGTGGCCCGTGCTTATTTATACACACGCTGCGCAGACATAATCAAGCAAATCCGCTTGAAATCTTGCGTTCTCTTGCGTGCGCTACCGCCGCGCGAATACTGGCGTAGAGAAATGACTGTAATTTCTAATTGTATGGGATGGAAATCATGAAGAGCGTATGCGCCCAGGGTGTGCACACTGTTAATTGAGCTATTTCGGTAGCAACACAAAAAGCAAATCAAAGCAACAATTAAATCGAGCACATAAACCCACGAGAAATTTAGAAAACTCAGTTTCCTAATTAAAAATACATAATTTATCCTACGTCTCCAATATTTGAGCGTAAACAAATGAAATCAATTAATAAATGAACACACATCGAGTGCGCCACAAGGTTCGAAGCTGTAAAGTGTTGAAACAACAACATAATTGATGACAATCAAATATTAGACGCTTTGACGTAAAATTAGTGTGAGATGTATTCAGAACGACATTGGGTAAAACAATCAAAGGAGTGTTCATCAGTAAATAAGTGATGGTCACATGCATTTTACAGAGACCTCGAAGCCTGTGCTACATGTTTATCGTGGCTCTAACAACGTATAACACATTTTATTTGGCATTAGATATAATTATATTATTCAGCATAGTAGCTTTGTAGTTTTCGTCCGCCCACACATTTAAATATAGATTTTATATTTCACCTATGATTAAGACGTGTAATTTTGGCTTCGACAGGCCGCGTGTGATTCATGATGCATGAAAAGCCTTCGTGGAAAACGCATTCGTATAAAGTAAATATTGTTTAAATGATGATTTCATGAATTAACTTTGTAGATTTCAGCGTAGATCTAATGAAACAATTTTTAACTCTTCGTCAGAGCATAATATTAAAGTGATATGTAAAGATTGCACACGGAACATTTCACTTTACTTTACAAACGTAACTCGACGCAATCCATATTTTTAGAAATGACGTGCCAGGAATTTGAACGTTCGATTTCTCCCGATTTACTACGCGCATTGTTTGCCGTGAAGAAACATTCTACACATTTTCACAGCGGGTAATAAAACGTGCGTGCAGTTAAAATTAAAACATTTATAAGAACATATTAAAATCGCCACCCAACTTTATGATTGAATTAGTTTACTCAATATTTGTAGATTTTCACAGGTGTATCTACAAAGGTGTCTAAAGATGTCTGCCAGTAGTTTTGTGTGTATTAATATTTTGGCATGACCAAGTGAATAAACATCAAGCGTCTCATTTACGTACGACGACGAAATGAAGAAACTTCCAAACGCATGGGAAGCCTTTCCGAACAAAAATAGATGCGGCAATCGTCACATATGTGATGCGTGCGTGGTTGTTCATGCTACTTCCGTTTGGTTTATTTTATTTCTTTAATCTTTTACTTCACTTCGGGCTTTGACTAAAAACAATAAAATTTGCAAGGTAAGATTTACAAAATGCACTGAAATAACTAATGCAGTTTTCAATTTATTTAATCTGGGTGCTCTCAGATTACTTTTTGCATAACACTCGCACATGAACAATGTAATACAATCACTTCAGTTATTATATCATGTTAAGTGTGAGTTGAAGGAAGTATTGGTCAAAATATGTAAAAACACATCCTGTGCTGCGTGTGCCGAACGAGAAGTGCGTGGGTACTTGATACTTAGAGTTTAGTTCGCGTCGTACATGTGTAATTTCCGAGCCTTCTGTCGCCTTCGATATCCGTACGCGATGAATGCGGCTGGAGAATCGGTGCCACGACTGGAATTGTAATCGTTTATCATGCAATCCAAAACGCCACCGCAATCAGCGAAAGTCGACCACAACACAACGCGAAAGGCCGCTTTAAAATCCAAAAACACAAAAACTGAAGTATAATATAAATAAATGTACTTCTGCAGGACAGAAGCGGTGGAACCATGTTTATTTTCTTTATAAACCACCCTCTCGGATAAGGCCTCTGCTACTTCTCGGAAACCATCCGAAAGTAAAGCCCCGCTAGTGCATACGCCGCGCCGCCTCGCACCCCAAGGGTTGGAACGCACCAAACACACTTATTGATTAACTCGTCGCTCGTCCATGCCGTGATAGCAAGCGCGAAGCTTTCTATATACATCTAGACCCAAAATCTACCAAACAACAATCGATGACGAATCTCAAACACACGCACTGTCCATTTACATATTATTATTAAATATGCAACACCCGAGCAGAAATTGCGAGCATAGCTCATCGCCATATACAGAGCTGCACAACGCACGTCTCTATGTATAGAATATAAGTTTACATAGATATAAAACACAATAACAAAACAACTAAACGCCTCACATGCGCACTGCACACATACACAGGTTCACTCAACACAAGCGCTACCAATGTAAATAATCGATCGGAGCTTAACCTTAAAAATCATTATCGCACAGCAGAGTATCTAAGGCTTAATCCCGGCTACCCGACAACGCTTTTGATAACGATAACAACAATAAGCATTGAAATGTTTTAGTCTACCGTTTTATTAACCGCCGCGAATCGACTGTATTATTTATTTTTATCCGCTGATGCAAAAACAGATGCCTCGCTCGCTGAGCATCTTTCCTAATATACGGTAGCTAGCGGTACTATCTCGGCACAATTCGACACCGGCGATAAGGAACATTGGTAAACTCACCTGTTTTGTACAATTGATGGACGCATTGCTTCGAGAAAACACACATTTGTCCTGACGATGTGGTGCACTTCACACGCCCAGCTCGCTCTCACCGACCATACTGTCGTGCGCGGCCTCTAGTGGTCTTTGGCGTGCGGTACGCAAGTACCAAATCCGGCGTTACGTCATGCGGCATGTACACCACACCGAGCACCTGTCTTTAATATTTGCGCGATTTGCATTCGTATTATGACTATTAACTAATTAATAGTTGTTAGATCACACCACGTTCCGTAAACAGTGCACTGTATCATTAATCATAAGAAAAGAGTGATTTAATTATAAAACACTATCGGTTATGACAATATTAGTGTTTAAAATTAGAATGATTCAATTTTATCATCTGTATAACATGTGGTTTTAGTTTTCCGACGGAAATTATTACTTATATCAATAATGTGTCATATTTCTAACGTTATTATATATTTTCTATATGTTTAAATTGAAACGAAAAAAAAAAACAATTTAGTAATGGTGGGTGTCTTATGTCCACATCCCACATTTAAATATTTTAAATTCAGAGATCAAATTTGGTTTCAAAAGCAATGTAATGCAACAAATGTTTCATTGATAATCAAAATAATATTACTAAGAGTTTTCCAAGAAAAACCATGGCTAGTATTTAATTTTAAACATTATTTTAAACACTATAATTAAGATACTATGCTATTTGCTGTTAAGAAAATGGTTTAATGTGTTGTGGGCGCACGATTGCTAAATAGCGCATGAAAAAGTCATCTGTACACCGTAATCCGACCACATTGGTCAGCAATACTGCACTCAACTCTTTCTCGATTCATAAGTTCAATTTAAAAGAGTAGTATAAAAGCGGTTTAAGAAGGCGGACGTGTCTCCTCAGCAGCCGGCATTGAAAAAATGCGTGTGCGTATGAATTGGAACGCTCATTTGTTCAGTTCATTCATAAAATTTCTCAAACACGCATTCATCCTTCAGTGTGTAACCCAAGCAACAAAAACAACACATTTAAATACTTTGCATACCACACATTTTATAATTTGTGTCTTGTTTCTAATAAGATTATCTATTCAAATCCATAATAGTAGCGAAAATCAATTTATTTTTATTTTTTGGATTCAAACTAAATTTTGATGTAGGCAACTATATATACAGGTTACGCCTCTAAATGAAGCTGAACAAGTATAAATATCATCTTACACAAATACAAACTTTCGTTTTGTTGCAGGTACATACTTGTATTTTGATATTATCCAGATACGAGTTTTAAGTAGACAAAGTTTGAACAAAATTCCAATGAATGCGATTGCAAACTGCCCGCTAGCGACGCAGTAAAGTTGAATCATGTTAAATAGAAGGCGAATAAAGAAATATACTTAACGACCGATGAATCGTCGGTTAAGTTGCATCGGGGAGAGATATACGGCGGTAAGTTCAAGTTGCGAATAAAAGAATATAATGCAAGAAGGAAAGAACGCACGGAAATTTCGTAGACGAAAAGAGTAGGTTCGTATAGCAATAAAGCGTCGAACGTTTGGCCATAAATAACCCATTAGGACGACTGCGAAAGGGAGACCGGAGGGTTGTGCCAATGTTCTTCCTTTCAGTTTGCCGTCCCTCACTCCAGTTTTGTCTATTTCTTTTTTTTTGTTGTTGTTTTTCTTGTAATGACGTGGAATACTCTCGCAAAGAAAATGTATAGTGTGAATAGAGTTAATATCAGTATCGAAATAAATTGGTATCTCCAAAGTTTAATTTTTCAACTTTTCGCCGAGTGCACAAATCGCCTTTGACAAACGACAATTCGGCGAGTGCGGGTTCATTCGAGCGTAGCCTCCGCACTCTTCTTGTCTTTCCGTTGTCAACGCAGGCCATAAACATGTTGACGGATAGTACGACGACCCTCCGGCGATGAATTTGTACAGAGTTAAGTTTCGCCGAATTTACATATTAGACATAAATTGTCTCGATGCGAATGGATGTTGTGGAAATATTTTATGTCCTCTCAAGGACTCCGTGGGTACCGTAAGTGTTGGGGTGGAGTATAAAGATGTCTATCAAAAGCGATCCAAGTGTTATATATTTTAATATTTGGTACAAAGAAATTACGAAATAAATCGAAAAGGTATTATGCATTATTACCATTCAAATATTTACAAAATATAAAAAAATACTTAACAATAATTGATTCATTTTCTTATTGTTCATTATTGTCATTTTTTTATAACAAATATTATTTAAGTTGAGTAATTTTTTTGTGTCTGAGATTATGACAATTTGGCAATCCTCATAAAACCATAACTCTAGGGGTGGAATACATAAAAACGCATCCCCTCGGAGCTCCGCTTAACGATATCGTCGAGGTTGCTTTATTGCATTAGTAAATTCACTCATTATAATTACGCAGTCGTTAAAACGACACATCGTTATCCAACGACGATGCGTCCATTCATCAATTCGCCTCCGCCGCGAAAGCACTACATTTATTAATAAAATCATCAAGACGAACATGATGCATATCATAACAAGTCGCGGCTACACCCCAAAGTTCTTCTTCAACCCTTAACTTGTAATAACTTAGGGTTATTCAATTCGATGGTCCTTTTTACATTTGATCTTCGATGCGACTACTACGCCTTCGTATAATACAGCATCATAAGTGTATGGCGTGCGTGACTATGCAAACAGTGGTGAAACAATGGCTACAGTACTCCCCGGACGCTTGTAACCTAATATCCGATTTACAGTCGGCAATTAATATAATAACAATGCAGCACAGCATATATAGGCACCCTTTTTATCTGACCGAAGAGCAAAGACTGTGAGTAAAATTCAGTGCGTCATGGATGATTGTTAATGATAGTCTGATGTCGCGTTAGGGGTAATTGCCGCTTTTGCTGTTTGTCAACGCAATGCAAGCACTATTAGATGAGTGTGATGTGGAAAAGGACATTAACACATCTGTTTAAATATTAATCGTTCGTAGCGTAACACATCCGCACTGGTTGCTACTAAATTAAGTGCGTATTATGTCGAGAAGAACATTGTTAATCTATATCTATATATATATATATGTATATATAAAAATTATCTATATATCTATGTATCTATATATATATATATATATATATATATAAATGAATTGCTGTTCGTTAGTCTCGCTAAAACTCGAGAACGGCTGAACGGATTTATCTTATCTTGGTCTTGAATTATTCGTGGAGGTCTAGGGAAGGTTTAAAAGGTGAGAAAAATTCGAATAATTGCAGGGAAAATCCTCAAAACAGCTCTTTTCAATAGAATAAAATTTGACATTGAGATTCATAGTTATAGTTAAATAGTTGAAATCGAGATGGCGCGCTGAAGTGCATTATTGACAAAACTTTATATAATTAATTTCTTTAAATTAATATTGCTAATCTTATTGATAGAATTGACTCTTACTACGAGTATGTCTAGAACAAGAGAGTAAAAACGAATTACATTTTTATTAAACACTGCCGGAACGAAGTCGCGGGCAACAGCTAGTCAGCTTATATATTCCAAACAAGATTTAACTGTTAACCAATAATTTTATAATCGTCAACATTGGTTTTTATGCATTTTTTCATAAAAAAAGTTTACATTGAAATTGTATGAAGTCATTCTGTCCTCCCTCATATCAAAACTTGTAAAGTCAAAAAGCATCGTAAACCGTCCATTCTGCTTGTGCAAATATCCGATATAGTTGAATAGTCAAGAAGTCGTGCGGTATCTCTGCGCATTGCAAATTTATGTAGCGTAATTTATAACAAGCCACGCCGACGAAAGGAGAGTCAGACGTGTATTCGCCAGCGTCGACGAATCCCTTGCGCCGCCGCCACGGCCACCGAATGATGAATTGAAGCGATGGAAAATTTGTATGATATATTGAAAGAAAATGGAAAATATTGTTTGCGAACATCTATTCTCAGCGACGGCCATTTGCATCGCAGAGTAATAAAAACGGGATGCTCCAATGATTACTTCGGCCACTATTCTCGTTCACAGTTGTTCACAATGTCAGATTCGAGGAAATATGATAAACTGCGGGTAGAAATAAAAAATAAAAGAAAATGCACTTGAGTTTAAAAATAAAGTTTTCAACTGAACAAAACAATTGATAAAAGGAAGACTAATGACTCTTTTAATATAACAGTTCACAATAATTACAATAATATTTGATGAATGCATTGTTGATTAAAGAAAAAAACAGAAGAATGGAATAACATATTGACGTTTGACTTTTTGTTTTCCATCCTTTGATTCTTTTTTCTGTACTATTCACTCACTCGTGCAATAAATACTTCTTCTAATGCATTAGCCGCGGTAAACAAGATCGTAAAAGAAATCGGTGGCGTCGCGATCCATTTGCTGTCATAGAAGAGAATCTCAGAGAGTTTTGATCAATATATATGAAGTACAAAATTGTAAAAACATCACATTTTTGTCTGTGAAATCTTATAATTGCTCAAAAATATAACTTTTTTGCTTTTAGAAAGATTTAAGTTTATTTCTGTCTACAGTCGGTGTATTATTTCATGTAAGACGAGAACTATTCACATCTGTCATTACTTTTCTATTTAAACTTATCTCAACATTGCTTTAGGCTTTATAAAATAAAAACAATGCGTCACACGAATGATGAGTACACAAATAAAATATGTTGCAAGGAAAGACCACGTAGTGTATGTACGTATGCGTAAAACTGCCAAAACGAATGTGCAAAATGACAAGAAATATTCGCGAAAGCGGAACGCGCTGCGTTGCTTCCTGTTTGAGCTGGCATAGATGCTGACGCGCTTCCGGAACACATCGGCAATGTCCACTGATGCGCAAATGCACCGCATTCATAGCGAAACGATGAGCAAAGTAGTGAGTAGTCCCGCAAGGACACAAGGAAAAAGTCGTAGAATGCTGCATCCGGTTTGTGTGCACGAGGCAAGGCGGGTTGCAAGCCAACCTATCATTCAAATCACCACCAGGGTTGGCAAAAACAAGAAATAATAGTCTTTCGGAAAAACATTGTAATTTTATAGGAATAAACTATCATTTGTTATGATTTTCTTTTTTTTTGTTGGTATGTAGTATGTATAGTAAATGATTGTCGTAAAAACATGGGGTATTTTTATAGGGGTGGCTAATGACTCTTGTTGTGCAAAAAGTACGAATGGAAAGAAGAATAAATTGAGCAGGAATTAAAGTTTATGCATGGTGCATCGATGTTTCATGTACGAGCAAATGCGAGGGGTGGACTTCGTTACACTTCATTTATTTATTTCGGTCTTCTGATGTTTACGCATCGTTATCATTAGCAATAAGGAATTTGCTACTTTTGTCGAGTTTTATTAAACTTAGATATTTCTATCTATTTACATGTCTTTTTTTGTCAATTTTATTCACTAATCAATTTTATGCACCTAATGAATAAAAACGAAGATTTGTAAATTTTCATTACTAAAACTTGTAGCACCTATTTTAGTATAATTTTTGTGCAATGTTTGCTATAAAACTGTATTAATCACACAATAAACTTATTATAATGACACTAGGTACAATGCATTAATTATTATCGCAATTGAAAATTGTATTTAATTCTACCTTAAATCAGAAATAGGCAATCTTAGATAAATCAGTCAAAATAACGTTTCCTTTCAACTTCTTTAAAAAGTTTAGTAACAATAAAAACAAGGTTTTTATCAAATATTTAAGAATTACTAATCCCATGAAAATAAAGGTTAAAAAGGAAGTTCCAAAATCAATTTACAAATGTTAAAGTCGTTAAATTTAAATTTGTTTTAAATTTGCACCAAATAATTGTAGTTTACAAAATAAAATGTCAGGAAAAATTTTTTTTGTCGCTCTTTGCAACGTTTGAATCTCTGAATAAGCTTTGAATGCCCGTCAGAAATAACTATTCTATATTTTTCAATTTTTGTCGAACATATTAGTTAAAAAGTTGTGATTATCACTGAAACTAAAATAAAGCGCAATACGTACTCGTAATTCCATTGAAATCATTTAAACAAATATTGATCTTGATTTGAAACTAAAAAATGATATTGACAAAGAGAAATATTTTAAGATATCTGCTTGTTAAAAGATAGATTTAACTTCTATTATATCATGACAAAAATCCTAAAGTGTTTCGTAAAATGTTTTATAACCCGAAATTTCAGAATATTTGTAATTATTGTAATTAAATATTTAACTAAATAGTGACAAGAAACTCTAAATTGCAGCATACAAGTACGTAGAAGAGATATTAGAATAGTTGCAAAAAATGCAAAAATTAAGTGGAACTCTTTAAGACATTCAAATTCAAAAAAACAGAATCCATTCAAATTAAATTTGGAAAAGTAGTTTGCTTCTATAAAATAATCAACAAATCGCAAAACTAGAGCATTAAGGAAATCCCAAATTCCTCATATCTCACACTCCAAATAACTCATTAATTTAATACATTTACTAAAGAACCTTAATAAAATGAGGCAGTTGCTATGACCTGCAAAAAGATATATTTGGAATTATTGGCGCAGTTTTAATAAGATTAAAACTACGTGTCTTGGTCGGCGAGTCAACCCGTGCGCGATTCGTCCGTCGGCAACTTGTCACCTACTACTTGCAACCCAAAGCATGCCAAACATAAAGTTATAAAATATTGAAGACTATTTAGACTATAGGAAATTGTGTTAAAATTGTGCATCTTGATTGCAAAATACCGTGGCTTTTTCAGCTCGTGTTTTAGACATTCGTAAAAACTTAAAAGTTCTCTGGCGGTTCTAACTTCTTTCACCGGCTGAACGCTGAGTAGACAATAAAGGCATCTTTTTACGGTAATACGTATAATATAACAAAACGGAATGGCAAACACTATGCTAAGTGAACTCTAATTATCTGCGAGTATTCCAGAACGCAAGATAAATGCATTTCTAATTAGACAAACTGTTTCCTGTCAATACATACAGGACAAAACGCATTCTGTGTTCAATAGTAAACTAATCATATTTTTGCATGTGAGACTCTAGTTATTTTTTTCTACTTCCACCTATAAAGCGATAGTTTTTCTACAGTTTTTTGACACAACAATTAGTACTTTATATACGGACAGCCAAGCCGTGAGTAAAGTACTTTATCTAAATGCATTATCTACGGGGACGAGCTTGCGCCTGCGCATTTGCCTACGATGCAGTACCAGGCCATATGAATGCTGCTCGAATATAAAGTTGGTTCAATGTGTAAACAGAGTCGAGGTAAGCAAAATAGCGTAAACATCACGTGGCCACACGTTTTTAAGCCCTCGTTTAATCACTTGATACTTAATATAGGTACTACTATTTATCCGCGTATTAATGAAAAAAACTGCATTGTTTAGATAGCCGTCAAGTTCCAATTAGGTATAAGGTAACATGTTTGTCGCCGGCAATTTGATGGTATTTTGTTTAGACTAACTTTTGTTTGTTACATCTAATGAGTGACAAGTTATCGGTTTTGATAATAAGCTTTTTGACATGGGTTTTAAAATTAACCTCAAACTAAAATGAATTGCTTACCAACTTCTTCTACATATTTGTGTATTTTAATTATTATAAATAGTATACCTTTCAAAATAGTTTTAAAAAGAAGCCATTCTGCCGATAACTATATTTGTTATATCTAGATTTAGAGCCCAGAAAGCCCAAATAGATAACTTTCGGCGTTTTATATCAATTAAATTTTATAGAATTGAATTTGAAAAACAAATTAAAATTGATACCCGATCACAACGTGAAACGAAATTATTTTAAAATATCACATTATCTTGCACAGTCTATGTTTTTAAATGCAAGAGATACGAGATATTCTGATATTAAGTTATACTTTCAATTGAAATATGGTCTTAATAATATATTATGAACAAAACAAAAATTCATTAGATTAGAGAAACTAATTATTTGGTACTTACAGTTTTATTCACATTGAAAGCACATTAAATCACTTCACATTTAGGTAATTTCTATGATGTGAAATAAGTTTAAGTTGAATTCTGTTGGATTCTTGTTGCAAAGCTAAATATAAAGGTAAATAAAGATAAGATTATAAAATTTGTGGGAATATGCTATCATTAATTCAATACAATTCAACAAACATGTCTGAATTGCATCGATAATAAAATTGTCTGTTACATTATTTTTTATTTTTCGCCTTTTTTTTTGTGATGAAATTAATAGATGTAGCTAGTATTGTTTTAGATTATTTCGGCTACTTTGGTCTGCATAGACCAACAGTTGTAACATCCCAAAGTTGAAACTTCTGTATGTGTATAATATTTTATATATGAATGGCCATAGTCTGTGGCCCGGTGCCGCCGCAATCTAAAAGAAATATTCAACGCTTGCAACGCTTGCTCGCAATGTGTCTTGGTATGATATGTCCTGCGGATGACTAGCACATTGGCGTGCTGCTTCTACCATTCGGGCTGTTGCATCAGCCAATGTTTTTGCCGCCGCTAAGAGTCGCTTTTGCACATCGGAATTATCAGGTTGCTTTTCAGCGTCCGTCTTAATGCTTTCAATAAGTTGCGCAGTCGCTGCGCCAAGAATACGTGCTTGTTTAATCATCTCGTTAGAAGAATGTGCAGCATTTTTTGCGGTCAGGATCAACGCGGCGGTGGTATGTGCCATCGCTTTGGTCAAAGCCATGAGCGTATCTTGCACCTCCTCGCTTTCGACCGTTTTGTCACCAAACGTAAGAGCAAGTACCTTATTTAATAAAATAAATATTTTATTTTTATTTGTAATCAGGAAAAGAACTTTATATATCGCATACCGAACCGGAGCGTTTGTCGCCGCTAACTGCCGTTTGTTGTGCGTTACCCAAATTACCGTACGGTTTCATACCTAATAACCGAAAATAAAACCGAAACAATACAAAAATAAATAAAAAATAATTTGCACAACTTTCCATTGGTTTAATATGTTAACTTTACTAGATGCGTTTCGTGTTGCATCACGGAAATGGATGATCACGGAAAACATACTTATGTGGTGATACACTGTCTTCAATCATAGTGGAGCCTTCTTCGCCGTCAATACCCTGTTGATCTTTAGCTTGCTTCTTCTTGAGGATGATATCAATATACCCAGCAATCAATTGCTGGATTTGTTCGGCTTCGGTCGTCTGCACCGAGAAATATTGATCTGAATAATCGCCGAAGTCCAGTGTGAACGTGCTCGGGCTAGCGCCCCAACGTTTGACGGTCGTTAGCGGCCAGCACTGCAGCATTTCCTTCGTGTGCTCATCAAGTTGCAAAATGGAATCTTGCGAAATGCCTAACAATCGCGGCACTAACTTATTCTTGCCCTTCATCTTTTCTTTTACCAGGAAGAAAGTGACGCCGTAGGTTTTCAGTGAGCGCGCTAGTTTCGTGTACAAGACTTTTGCGTTCAGGTCAGACAAACCGTTATGTTTAGCGTGTTCCTGGAAAATTTTTTTTCGACTCCCTTCTTGATAAAGCTTTGTGGAAGGAATTCTTTCAAACTAGACAAATAAATCAACAATTATATTATAGGAATTTAATATTTAATGATGAAAACTTACTCTAGAAGTCCAGGCTTGTGTTTGGCTACATTGAAATTGCCAAAATGAATTTGGCATTGAATACCCGCAAACTCAACGGCTTTGTCAGCAGTGACCGGATGAGTACCGTCAACGATGGCGTTCTTCGCTTGTACATATAGAAGATTCAATTGAACTGGGTCCCGAGAATCGATATTTTGATCAGAGAAGAAAAACTTGCGACGAAATAAAACAGTGACATGTTCATCAATGCCTTGCTCGCGCAGAGTCTTCGAGGTATCTAACCAGTTGACTTCGTCGTCCGTTTAATAGTCTTGCGTAGTTTTTCCATCTTGTCATCTTTATCGCGCTCTTCTTTCTTGCGACAGAGTGTAAGCGTGCCATAATTACGAGTGTCCAAGACTTCCATATTATCTTTCTCATCAAAGACCAACGAATACTCGTCGTGATTAGTGATGCCGATCTTCGCGCAGATTACTACCATCAAGTTTGCAACAATTTGCGAGTCGTCTACTAAGATGGTCTTGACGGAATCTTTAATCGAAATGATGTAATAGTTATAATTTGTTAGTCAAAAGGTATAAAAACTTACGGTCCAACATTTTGACACGCAGAGCGCGCATTTTGCGAGTATATTCCAAAATATCGCCATTGCTTAGCATATAATATTCAAGCCGGCGATTTGGTTCAAGCCAAACGCCGATTTTATTATCATCGGCTGTCAAGAACAAGCCATACTCGTTTGCTATCATAAAACAAAGACAACAAATTAATAAAAGATTTGAAAGAATTTTTGGAAAGTTCTTACCTTTCCCCAAATCATATTCGTTACATTTGTCTCTAATAATGCAGCACGCATCGAAAACAGTGGCAGATGACTCGAAAATAATTGTTTTCGTAACGTTGTTCTCGACAATGTTGATGCGCAGAGAAAGCGCCATTGTTTCTTGAAAATTCTCTTCTCTACGTCGTTCTTGATAAAGCTTGGTGGAAGGTATGCAATCAAACTGCCAAAATAAATAAAAAAATACAATTTTTTAATTTAACACGTAACAATGAAAACCTTCTTTAGAAAACCAGATCTGTGTTTGGTTTTGCAAAAGTCCCATAATCAATTTGACATTGGATACCTGCAAACTCGATGGCTTTGTTGGCGGAAACCGGGTGAGTACCGTTGACGATTGCGTTCTTTGTTTTAGCAGAGATGAGTCGAATCGTCTTGCATTTGAGATAATTTGTTTCAATTCACAGTTTATCACACAACTAAATATCCAAACCAAATAACATCATCAATTAGAAATAGTCATTTGATTGATAATATCTTGCATGATAAATACCAATTTAAAGATAAGATTAAAAAACATACTAGATTTAGCTTATAATAGGTAGAGAGATAATAATTAGAGATGTAGGTAAATAACACTAGAGTTATTGAAGCATTTCGAACAGTAAGCGTAGTGCAACTCATGCTTTCCGTGGTGTTCTTGAATGTTGTTTTTAATACCAAGTTTCCCTAGACAAAGCTGGCACTCTCCTGGAGTGTTTAAATTGCATCGGCTGTATCGAAACAACGCTTCGTTATCAAATGATGGCGCACTGGGGTGTGGCATAGCCAAAAACGCATGTAAAGATTGCGAACTTCCCAAGCATCCCAACTCCGACGCTATTGCTATTCCATATAATGGCTTGTTTGTTTGCCGACTTCGGCGATGTGTGAGTGTGAGAAGCAAAGTGGATATCGCGCGCTGACAAATTTCGCAGCGATAACAGAATATTTATGGCAGTTATAACGGATGTCGAGGTCGGACTTACCATTCGGAAATATTCGCCCGAAACTAATAAATAAAATGAGTAATATCCGCAGTTTTTGCCGACTACTCTGTCAAACATGCAATCAAACATTTTTAAATGAGTGTTTCATAATTTTGTATCGATTGTGACAAGTAATAATAGATAAGAGTAAATATATGACTGATAAGATACTGAAGACAACAGCATAGAGAGAATCAAGAAGGGCGGATATAATCAGAGTGCATTTGGAGGGTCGCAAACAAGAACAATTTAATCAATCAAAATACCACATTTAACAGTCACGATTTCTAGTATGTGATATGTTATCTCCTTCAGAATCAAGAACATTGCATTATCAACAAAACTAAACTACTACTAAAATTTTTCCAACCCACAAGAAAAATCACATAAATCTAACAATCTGAGTTACTCACATGAATTATGATTATATATTCGATTGCGTTCGAGGGTGCTGTATGCCCCACAGCAGGATACTACCAAGAAGAATGGTTGTACATCGGATTATCGTTTTTATTGATATGTATTGATATCGTCGCATGCGGATAACGAAATGCATTCTACAAATGGGTAGTCAGAATACAGAAATAAAGTATGAGGGTGAGATTCACACTTTGAAGCTACGATACGTAATGCTATCATACCACTCGTAAACAGAGATAAATCTTGGCGAAGTGTGTAGCGCAATGCTTCTAACAAAATGAATTAATTCTGGTAATATCTATGAGTGATATTAATTTTGTGACGAAGGCTGATATTGGAACGTTTAATTTAGTTAATGTTTAAAAATATAGAATATTTTAATATATTTTAATCTTAAATTTTAGATAAAATATGTGTTATGATCATGTTGAAGCATTAACACTAAAAACCGGCAAAGTTTTTGCGAATAAAACTTTCTTAGTTGCATGTAGGAGCAACCACTTCATCAGTTTTATTTATTTGCCCGGGAAAGGAAGACCACGTTCCCTTTGACCTCCCCGAGTTAATCGACTAAGTAAGAAAACAATTCGACTTTCAGCGCCCGTACCGCTGGCGTTATTGCATTAGAAGCCCGTTAAAGCGAGCCAACTAACAACTTCGTTCCGCATCCGCAATAAAAATCAAGTTTCCAATGACAAATTGCCACCAAATTGCCCCAAATATTGTGAGATGCACTCAACCAACTCAACCACGTCGAGTGTTGTTACATATGTGTTTTCTTGGATCCTATTTGAAGAGAAAATACTAAAAATATAATTTTTACATTCTTAAAACATAATTATACAATAAAACCAATAACACTATTAAGATTTTAATCTAGTTTTATACAATAATAATAATAAAAGTTCTTTTGCTGTTGGGTGTATTGTGGGGGATGACAGTTCTTTGCGAGGAGGTAGGAAAATCGCGTCCATTTCCGCAAAAGATGCATTTCGGCGCCGTTTGCCCGGGCCAAAGACTGGCGCCGTGCTCACCCTCGCGGAACGCCGCCCGTCGCCCGCCGCTACCCTGAAAACCACCCGCCCGTGGCACGACTGCATGAATACACGACCACCACCACTCGGAACGAGACGGGACGCAAACTATATATATATATACGTAGAACATCCTTCCTCAGACCCCTGCCGCCATCACCGCCAACGACGCGCCACTATATCGCCGACAGTAAAATAACAAATTGTTATAACCGCCGCGCGCCGCGCCAGCGAGGCAAAAAAGCGCGCGCGGCGAAAGTTTTTATGCAATCGCGATGTTTGTTTGGTAGAAGCGGCACTTTCATAAATTTCCACAACTTGCTTTTCTTACTTGACGCTTTTAGAAGTTACATTTTTTCTATATTTTTATTAATAAAAATTAAAAAATAAATTGTCCTTAAATATGAAAACTGCTTATTTTTTTTGCTTTTTATTATGAGATATATTGGGACTCTTTGAGTGATTGGTGGTATGCGTTGTGTTGTAATCCAGCGGTTCGATGGTAGTAGGAGGCGGCGACAGCCGCACACACATATCGACGATATTTCTATATATGTCGGATGGCGACACGGCGCCTAAGATCGGCGCCAGGAAACTTTGCAGTGGCGGCAGGGCGCCCGGACGCAGATCCTATGCCGCCGCCTCTGAACAAAATAGATACGCGCACGTCTCTATCCATACTGTCTGCCTGTCCGCCTGCTGCGTGCTTTCTGTATCCAATCTCGATCTACTGTTGAGATTTTTTTCTCGTATCATTTGCTGGTTGTTACATTAAAACTTCCAAATTTATAATTTATATATGATTATTATCAACTGTAAATATATATTTTTTTTGTTTTCTAAGCAAAAAGTGACATTTGTCACAATAACAAAACTACAAATTCTCCCCCTTGGTGCGAAGAATGCGTGTGGAAGTTCTATGCTTGGCGACACCGCGGCGCTTGTTTCTTCTTTGCGCGATTGTTTTTGCGCGCTCGTAAAGCCACCGACGTCCAAAATAACAGAATCCTCTTGTTTTGAATCCTATGCCGAGTCATAATACGAGCTATCGACGAGCATAATAGAGAAAGTCGCGTGTAAAAGCAGAAGATGAAAAAAAGAACTTCCAAGAATATAAACGCGTGGAGGCAAACCAATGTTCTGGGAGAGAATTTCATGCGCCAGGGAGACAAACAAGTAAAAAACTTTCAGGCAATTAAATGATAAAAACAATGGCACGTTTTTTAGTTGTAGAATTATTATCCTCCTATTCGATACGTTTCTCACCCTAAATTTTATAGGGGATGTCACTTTTTAACTTGATCACAACTACAATAAATTTTGATGTATTTTGAATTTTGTGTTACAAATAAATTACTTTATTACTGGTTTTGCATTGTTTCTTCAATCTCTAAGAATATTATTAAATATCATTAGTTGCATTAATTAAAATAATTTCATTATCGCATTCCTAAATAATAGTATATTAAGTACCTATCAAGTGGCTAAACGGGGTTTTAGTCACGAGATTGATTGCGAAGGAACGTAGCCAGCGATTAATCAATTGAGTGTTTAAAAACTTTTAGTCACGTGATGTTTACGCTATTTTTTAATTTCACTCAATTTCTATATTTAGACTTTTGTATTTAAACTTTTGTATTTTAAATCTTTCGAAATTCGCTCGCACATTACGGGCAAATGTAAGGTTATAAACATGAGCAGCATCAGCGCCTGTTTTGACTTGTTTGACAGGCGGCGCATGGCATTTCATATAACCTTGTGCGGCTTGTGCGGCACCGTAGGCAAATGCTTAGCGCAAACTTTACCCCGTGAATAAAGTAAAGTACTTTACTCATGGCTGATCAAAGTATCACATTTTGTGTCTAAAAACCGTTGGTGGAAGTTGGAAGTAGAAAAATATAATTAACTATATATTAAATTCAAAGCGCTTTTTCAGTTGTTATAAATTTCGATTATAAAGTCATTTATAATTTGTTTAAACTTCGAAGGACTTAACTGAGAATCCCAGAATGTAGGTATCATGTTCACGATTTGATTACCGAAATCTACATGCAAATGATGAAATTTACGAGCGCAGTGGTCAGCGCGGCGGGCGCGTGATTTCCGACAACTGCACCGGGCTTTACCAAAGTACAATTTATATGATATCAACTTTTATTATTAAGTGTGATTTATGTGACAACTGGTACGGCGGAACGCGCGTTTTGTTCGCGAACAATCGATATAAATTTTGGAACAGTGAGCGACCTCCAGCAACACTTGTATGAAGCGCACTATTGAGATAGCTTCGCCGAGAGAAGGCGCTACGTGTTCCAAAATATAATAAAATCAAAATTAAATAAACTACCCACAAATATATCGAAAATGTGCAAATTTAATGTGTCAATAAATATTTGCAAATGATTATCTATTAGTATAAATATAAATATTTTCAAATTTGGTTCTTTGAAGCAATTTTAAAAGCAGAGATGGCTTTAAAGATTTATGTTGTATGAAATAAATTGATAAATTTGATATTTTCATTAAAAAAAGGCATTTACTTTATGTTTAAGCAATTTATACTTAAGGTATATTTATATTTAATAATTTAGATACGATGCATATACCTGCATATACCTGCATCCACTAAGAACGAAATTGTTTATAAACTGGAATGGAATTATTAGAAAGTGAGCAATAGTGAGACATACTTGTGGTATGGCGTGAGTTGCTGGTAAAGTCGCCAGCAAAAACACCTAGTCTTTAGTTAGTCTTTGCCGTCGACTGACCAAGAACAGAATACGCATCAACGTTCGCCAGCGGCATCGAAAGCAGCTTACCTTGAATAAACAAGTAAAGGTAAAATGTTTATAAAACGTGTCTGGTCATACCATTTACAAAATCTGAAAGTAGCATTTTAGTCTTAAGAACAGTTCCAAAAGTTATCAATAATATTTAAGTGTAATTATCACGTTTAAAAGTTTTCAACATTTTACGCAAAGTGAGCTCAGCGTAAATGACCCAGTTTTAATGCACCAGCAGCATCAAGTCGTTTAGAAATTAATTCGAAAAGACGCACGAACGGGAGGAGAATTTGCGTTCGCCGCAAAACCCACAAAGGAAAGTGAACTTTCTAGATCTTACATAGTTTTAATTGTCTTTTGCCGGCGCGTGGTAATTTAGCGGCCACCCGACGAAAACGACGAAAAACCACCACCCAAATGAAGTGGCTTTCCGAACAAGCGAGGTGAGAAAAACACGATGCCAAACAAACCGCCGACCTGGATGTGTACCTTTCAACGCGAAGAAATGAGATAAACGCCCGTCATAAAGTTGAGCAACGACGGTGTTAATCACTTTATATTGTGTCTAAGAAGTTCAGTAATAAACCTACGGGAAAAACCTTCAGTGGCGTAGTAGCGTAAAATTAACGCACCTCGACAAAGAGAGAAGAGCGAAGAAAAACTTACATGCTTGCACCTTTAGTAGACCAAGGAGTTGGTATTCAGAGCAAAGTTTCGTGTTTAAAACATAATATATTTGCCACGAAGGAAGCCGGGTGCGAAAAGTGTGAAGCGTGTGAAGGTTCAGACTTTGTAACACACCACATTTTCTTATTAATTATTCGACGCAAAGGAAAATTATGAATTTTTTACGAGGACTTAAATTATGAACGCTTTGCCACGCACAAGAGTTGCATAAATATTTTCTACTAAAATCAACCTAAGGAAGCTAAAATTCAAGAGTACCACGAGCAACAAAACAAGCACACAAAATGTCGAAACACATTCTTATCTCAATTGCAATTCTTGTCATCTCAACCACAATAAACGGGGAATATATCCCACCAGGACCTAAATACAGGTGTCCCACGTCGACTCTTCTGTTGCACCCTTGCGTGTGTGACAGCGAATCAGATATTGGCATCACGGTACGCTGCGAAAACACCAATTTGGCGACGATGAGCATCGGGCTGAATAATTTGGCAACGTTCAAATTGCCTATCGAACGGCTCACGATAAGCAGGTGTCATATTAGTACGTAATTATAATTAAGGATCTAGTACACTTTCATACTTCATGATCTTTAATTAACCTGGTAATTAATTTACTAATTTTATTACAATTTACAGGGCGATTATTTGGTAGTTTACTGTATAAATTAAAACTGAGAACACTACGGATAGAAAACACGCCGCTGGAAAAAATTGAAGAACATACTTTCCTGGGAGTTAATTTAACATTAAATGAGTTGGAAATTATAAATACAACATTGTTGGAGTATCCTACAGATGCTTTTAAAGTAATTTGATTTAATATTAATTAATTATTATAACAAATCGTAATAAGTCTTTCATTGCAGATTTTAGGAAACTTAACGCTATTAAAGTTAGATAATCATCAAATATCAGAGTTACCTAAAAATGCGTTTTTTGAGACGGAAATGGCTGGACGCCTTCTAAATTTTTATCTGACAAACGGAAATTTGTCAACGTTGCATCCTGAAAGCGTGTTACCGTTAAGGAAATTGCGAGTTTTAGACTTGCATGGAAACCAACTGAAAGATTTGAAACGAAATCAATTTAAAGGTCTCAGAGAAACGGAAATTTTGGATCTGAGTCATAATAATATTGCTAAATTGGATGCAAGTCATCTTGGCGACTTAACTAAATTGGGATGGTGCAATGTTTCACACAATCAACTTACTGAATTAAGCAGGCAAGTAATCAAAATTAATCAGATAGTTGCATTGATTCTAGTATAATTCTTAATTTTTTAGAGGTGCATTTGCACGAAATTCAGTTCTGAAACTTCTCAATATGTCAAATAATAGGATCAAAAAGTTAGACTCAAATTCTTTCAGAGGAATGCGATTTTTGCGACGTCTGTTTTTAAGTGATAACGAAATAGTAGACATTGGCAGAGGGACTTTTACAACTATGAGACGTATCGGAACAATAGATCTAGCTCACAATAAACTGAAAAAAATCGATTATCAGATGTTTTTCGAACTAAATTATATTGAAGTGATTGATGTTTCTAATAATCTAGTGGAAGAAATTCAAAAATCTGCTTTTAAAGATCTGTTCCTTACTGAAATCATTCTTACTAATAATGTAATAAGTAAAATAGAAAATGGGGCATTTATCAACTGTGCCAATATGACTATTTTAGACTTGTCACACAACAAAATCGCAAGCATTCCAAGAAAAGCTTTTGATGAAACTACATATGCTACCAATTTGAAAGTAACACATAACTTGTTTACCTCATTGAATGAAGTACCACTGGCAAATATGACTGGAATCAAAGTGCTTAATGTGTCTTACAATCAAATTACATCGGTACCAAGACACACATTCCCAAAATTGTACGAATTGCATACGATTGACTTAAGCCACAATAACTTATCAGACATTTACAATGCTGTCTTTCAAACGTTGTTTTCGTTGAGAATTTTAGACTTGTCCCACAATAATTTGCAAGTTTTAAAACCTAGTACCTTTGGTCCATTGCCAACTTTATTGGAACTAGATTTAAGCCACAATGGTCTTAGAGATATGGCGAAGGGGACATTAACTCGTCTTGCTGGAATGCGAAAACTTATTCTAAATAACAATGAATTGTCAACCATGTTTACATTGCCAATATCTGTGGGCCACCTGGATTTAAGCTACAATAACTTTGAAGAACTACCGGTTAAGCAATGGCCAAGCATGAATTCACTTCTCTCATTAAACATGAGCCATAATCAACTTGGGGATAATCTCCAAAAAGGAAGCCTCGCAAATTTGCTTACTCTACAACGTCTCGACTTGAGTTATAATCAAATCACCAAACCCCCATGGGCTGCATTGAGTGACTTGACATCGTTACAGTACTTATACATGCAGGTTAGTGCATCTACAAATTAATAACAAAGTTTAACGTTTAAGCTTAAGTGCTTGTTGGGTATAGTTATACTAACGAGGGAATTCATTCTGCTAAGAATGGCTTTGTAAAGTTCTCAACTATGTATAGCATGCATTATAGCATTACACTTTTGGCTGTAATTGGAGTGTTGGAAATTCACAAAAGAAAAATTATTATGCTTATCAGTAACTTGGCGTGAAGTGCCTACCGACAAACAAGTTTAAAACAAGTTTGGTCGTGGTTTGTAGTGATTCTGATGCAAGTGTGTAATTTTAGGGCAACGAGCTGACAAAGTTGGAGAAAGGCGCGTTCGGGCGGATGCCCGTCGTCTTCCAGCTTAACCTTGCTGACAATAAGCTGGAAACGATCGCTAATCTTGCCTTCGACGGACTGTTGCAGCTGATTGTTTTGGATTTAAAGCGGAATAATATTTCAAATATACCGGTAGAAGCATTGAAAGGTAAGCTGCTACGAACTTTAATAAATTACTATCAATTGGAATTCTTTGTTTTTGCTTTTAGGTCTTGTTTCATTGAGAAAATTAGATTTATCATTCAATCGTATTGAGAAACTTGATAACAAAACGCATGGATTACTAGAAGATTGTTTGTCTTTGGAACAAGTAAATATTTTAAAGCTAAATAAAATAGTTCATAGTTTTAAATTGTTTTTGATATTTCAGTTGGATATGAGCCATAATAAAGTCAGTTTCGTTTCGCGGAAAATGTTCCCAAGTAACCCATACTTCCCGTACAGATTGAAAGATATCGATTTATCGTACAATGCGATGCCAGTTCTCACGTACGACATAGTCTTCGGCACTCAACAAGTGGAAAAACTCAATTTGTCGCACAACGCCATCGCTGACATTCGCCGAGGTAAACTTACCAAACACATGTTACAAGGAGTTTATTATATATTATTTTAATTTTATGAAATATAGGTGTATTAGGCAATATGACAAAATTGCGCGTGCTGGACTTGTCCTTCAATAATCTGGAAGACATTACTAGCGAACCGGAAGCCTTTCGCTTGCCGGTAAATGTGTCCGAAGTGTACCTGAGCAATAACCAACTTGAGCATCTACCGTGGCGTCATTTAAGGAACGTCACGCAACTGAATGTGCTTGACGTGAGCGGCAATCGATTGAAGGAATTCGATCAGAACCTCACTGAGCTCATGGTGGGCAATGTGACTACTGTGTATAACGTCGGCAATCCACTGCAGTGCGATTGCTTCCTGCGCCCGCTAAAACGTCACATGGATCGGACCCTCGACTTAAGCAACAACTACAAGGACTTACAATGCACAGGTCCGCCCTATTTGGAAGGAAAGTTTTTGTTTCAACTCAGCGAAGATCGTTTGAACTGTCCGATCAATGTGAATACCAGTTTGTTGTTGGACAATCACGAGGAGATGTATGATATTACGCCTGATTTAAGATTTAGAGAAGTTACAAGGTAAAAATGATCTCAGAATATAATTAAAACAGTATAATAATTTTGTTTACATTTTTAGCAAAAAAGGTGTGATTAAAATTAAATGGCTTATAGTAAAAAATGATGACATAGCAGATCCCTACATCCTAGTCCGATCATCAAAACGTCCCCAAGAAATATTATACCAAAAAACAGTGCCGTATATACAGCGCAGTTTGGAAATTTCTGTAAGTGAACTACAAGCAAAAATACCTAGAGCAGGTAGCGGTGCTTCGAATACTAATGATAATTCGACCGGAAATGCGCAAGACGATTACGAGGTGTGCGTCTTGGCGAGAGACAGCCGCACAGCGGTGAGAAGTTTAAACAAGCAGCAGTGCCGTGCGTTGCCCAACATTGTCACCTCATCGGGCAGTCAACTTTCTCAGCGCTATTATTCTGTGATAATTGTCGTTGTTATAAATGTTTTCCTGACATTATTTAATTATCGTTGTTGAGATTTAAAATATTATTTAGATCACGCATGAAATTGCTTATTAACAAGTTGTATAACAATTTTAAGCTGATATCACTGTATATTTAACTTAATTTTTGTAATTAGCTATTACGAACTCAATTGAACCAAAGGAATATTAAATAAATGTGATTTGATTGAATAGTAATAGTTTTTATGAAATATTTGCTTATATTGTAAGCCATGTATATAGGCAACTAATTATATTTTATTTATTTTTATTTAAGAGAACAGATTATCAACAAGTGCAAGTGTTGAAAATGTTTGAGTGTAACCGTAATAATTTCACGTTCTCAGGGAAGCAGGAAGTTGCGGAAGTCAAACATCCAACAGACATGCCACCAGAGTATATGGCAAACAGGTTTTTTCTAAATTTCAAACTATCAGAGCGCGCGCGCGTTTAGAAGTCAAACACTTTTCAACTTCCCTACAACATCGGCGGTAATTGGAGTTCAAGCATTTTTAGCTCGTTAGGACACGCACACGAATTCTCATGTTTTCCGTTCCATCCTTGATCGAAGCGATATTTTTTCTGCTCTCATTACCTACAGTTATATGGAATTTATCTTTGTAATTGTTTTATTGTTGTGCTATCTCTAGCATGCGGCGTTGGGGAAATTAAAATCTTCAATTTGTGTGATTTTCTACGTTTTACAATGGCATAATTTAGTTATTCTTTTACTCGTATATTGGTTCAAGGAACACGACTCAAACAGTCGCGACAACGATCAATGTAATCAGTGGCATCTAAAATTTTAGAAATATTACTGCTGAGCGTGTGATTATTGTCATCAGAAACAAGGCCAAACACCAACACCAACTTTTATTTCCCTTCAAATGTAAATTTTATATTTATATAGGTATATAATTCTGAAACAAGAAATAAAAAATCTTTTTTGTGTGCATAATATTGAAACAATTAAAAGTTTATGCCTGGTTGTATTAATTTTAAGTCGAGAAATGAATAAAACTCGTTTCGTTTGTTGAAGTATGAATGAATTGTATTTTTCAAAGAACAAAGTGTACTTAATGACGGCTATGTCGATGTTGATGAAGTCAATTATTTTATAAGAAAGGCAGCGTCCACAGAAAACAAAAAATGTTGAAAATATTAAACAAATGTGCCCGAAAGCGTCTATTGTCAAATTTTCAGCATCTGTTCATACATTGTATCAAAATAAAACAGATTTTTTAACTTGCATCTTTTTATAACCCTCAATTAAAAACAACGTAAAGATTAACATTGTAAGTAGAAAAGGTACGAGTTGCAGGTAATGCACTTTCAAGGTTTCACTGCAGCACTCCGCGAACTAAACATTTAATTAGCAACAGGCAGTATAAGTTCGGATCAAAGCAAGCAAACATAAAGCGTGCACATCGCTCTCATTAGCTGCCAGTCGTTGTTTGGAATAATTAAATTTTTATCATTGCGCAGCAGCGCGGCCAAGAAGCGCGAGCACGAGCAGGCAAGCAGTTCTGTTTTTCACGCACAATGAAACGAGCTTTTCTGTCCCTTCACTTCGGGTGCGCTATGTTCACGTTTGGTGTTCTGCACAGCGTGCAACCTTCGTAATCGCGCAGAAAATAATAATTACATAAATCTTCAATCGTTTCATTACTCGGTCGCTTACCTGTCCACTTCAGTTGGGTTGTTGTGAGCAAGTGGTGTGCAGCTCACGCATTTTCTGCGAGCAAAAATCATCGTAAAGCTCGTAAAAATACACGACGCATTAAACCGACGCGATTAACAACTTGGATTCGTCATATTTACAGAAATGAAAAAACGATTGTTATTTATCTTATTCATATCTATGATTTCTGTGTGTATGTTTTGTATTTTTGAATTTCAATTATTACTTATACAACAAACAAAAAATTCCGTCATTATAACCCCAATCATGTGACAAAAACAAAAAAAATAGTCACATTACCTGATGTAGATCTGGTTGGTAATTTACGATATCTTTAGTAAAATAAATTATTCAATTTTGCTGATAACCTCAGCATTTTAAAATAATAAATACTTATTGTTTCAAACAAATATTTAAATTATATACATTAATGAATATTCATGCGCATGGAACGTCTTTAGAGTCATATATTTAGCTTATGTTTTATTTCAAACTAAATTACTTAACAATAAGTACGGTCTTGTTAGAATATTTAACGAGTTTTCAATAGGAATTTTTAAAATGGCAATCAGCAAAAATGTCTAAGTAGAATTTTTAAATAATCCTGATGACATTTTAGTATAAATTGAGTGGTTATAAAAGTTAGTTTGAGTGCCATCGCCGAAACAGTAAATAATAAAGATGGTAATTTAAATACTACATATTTTACACAAATACATAATAATTTGATATTATTTTTTAGACGATTTCCAAAGGAACGATTGTCTGCTTTTTAATTGTATGTGCAATTGGTATTAATGCTTATGCAATCGAAAAAATGCTATAACAAACTCTCATCACGAACGCCGCGAGATTTCGTTACCTGAAAGGATATTTTGGCGTATTATCGATGTCTTCCACATTTTTAACTTTTTAATTCCGCAACCTATTCGCAACTTAGTTCAAGCATTTCACGAATTTATTGGTTTTACCAAACCTGATGAATTGAGACCTTAAAATAAAATAAATGGTGGTTCAAACATTTATATCTTTTTTCTGGAGTCATAACTATTGTATTTTTGGATTTGTTAAATTTAACCAAAGTGGCAAATATAGCATCAATTATGCTTCTCACTGTAACAAAACGCTAAGTACCCAAGTAAGTAAGTATAGACTGACCATCGTACGCCAGATGAAACAAACCTGATTTCATGCATGCAATCGTCGCCATGCCGCGACTCCAACTCCACCAACTTTTGTGATCTTTACCATACCTTTTCAGTGCTTTTACCTTACCTCCACGCATGTAAGAAGACGGTGAGTCGGTGGAAGTGTCTTACCTTCTACCTGTGCGCTGTTCGAGACGTGCCGCTCGTCAGTCGTGCTTTCCGTGCCGGGGCGCGTGCGCGTTTGACTTGCGCCAGTGACTTAAGTCGAATTTGCATTCTCCGGACGAAACTTCTACAACGGAAATTCTTCCCATCAACATTGCGCGACCACTAAAATACAATAATTAATACACTTAAGTAAATATGTATGTGTAATTCACACATACCATAAATTTATAAATTATTGCACTTAATTTTCAAGTCACAGCTTAGTTTCGTCAGCGCAGCGTTTGTTCGATTGTTAAGTTTCATCACGCTTGTGTGTATGTAAGAACTGTGCACCAGAATTGACAGCTGTGTAAGTGTATGTGCTTATGTTGTGCATGTGCGTGCGTATCAAAATAAGGAAAATGGTTTCACCAAAGGGATCCTGGTTGGTCATCGCATTGGGATTGTTTACTTTAGCAAATGCAAGAGGTAAGTTTAAATTATGTAATCCGTACGGAGCATAATATAAAGCAGTACAACAATATTACAGTAAATTTGCGCATGAGCGGAAATAGAACTAAATAAATATGTCATACTTGTGCATCTGTGTTTATATGCAAGCATCTTTTCGTCGTTTGGAAAGCGATCGAAATGAGAAAAGACGGCGTGAAGTTAAGTAGACATGTAGACTAAGTGACTCAGTAGACGGCGGCATTAAGCAATCGATATACGAGTGGAGTGTGCGCGAGAGTTGGTATATTGAGTACGAAGAAGTGGAATACGCGCTTAAGCGGAATGAGAATGTTTTACTTTCGCTATAAACTGGGTTAAGGAAAAATGCAACATGAGAATTTATATAATCGTGTCCTGTTCTTAAAGTTCAATATTTATAAAAATAAGACTAAAAGGCTATGGCAAATGTTGTATTATTTTGATCAACAATTTACAACAATTACCACAGTTGTAAAATCCTTAACAAAGATAATTGACGCTCACAGTTATTTCAGTGTACAATATTTGATTAAAAAACTAAAAGTTAAAATGATGGAACGAGTTATACAAAACTTGAAGTGATAAGATACAACTATCGGAATGATTAATGACCTTCTTAATGACGCATATTAAAGGCATTTAAGTGGCCGCTTATGCCTCGCTAGCTCCCTCTATATTCTTCAAGAGTTTAAAACCCACCTAAAATCCGAGTCGATGTTTCCTGTCGGTTTGGAATCAGCGCTTCTCTGGTTTCATCCACAGAAGAAGGAATGCCGATAGAAACGAGCAATTACATTGTGCCTAGCTCTTATATCACTTACATAACTGGTATCACGGTCTTATCAAATTCAATTACGAGCTGCGTGCAGTCTGCCGTTGCCTGGTTGACTGTGAGCAGAAAAAAACTGAAGCGTATTAAGAAGCCGCAAAGCAACGCACAAAAACGCAGACACTTGAAGGAGACACAAAGAAATTGCAGTGAGCAGACGCCTTGCCACACCGTATCGGATTTGCATAGGTGTGTAATGTGTGCAAAGAGTGCCTTAACCTCAAAGGGTCGCAATTATGCGCAAGGTGGCCAAGTTGAAACGTGCGTGCAACAAAAACAAATTCAGCAATTTTACACGATTTGTTGAATTTTCTGCCGGCTGTAATACAACAACAACACAACAAGAAAAACCAAACGCGACAAGTTCAATTAATTCACTCCGAGGGCTCCAGCGAATGCAACGAAGCGAAATAATGCACTCGGTGCGTTTCACATGCTTGCTCATATGCTCATACATGTGAGCGTTGTGTCTGCAAGTTCGAACGACGAAACGAAACGTGGTTATAACAATAATACCTGTCTGCATTGCCAGACACGAACGCAAAAAAACTAAAACAAAACGTAGAAAACACGACAAATACAATAATTTAAGTAGGCTTCTAAACGGGTTTAAGTTAAGTTAAAGTGCATTGTGATAACTGATAATCTTTAATATTAATAATAGCCATTATACTACTGTGAAATATCTTAAATACTCTAAAATCGAAGCTACTGAATTTTTATTAGATTGCGTTTTTATTTTATTTTGCTTGTTCATGGCCTGAGCAATAAATTGAATTGTATTATAGGATTGTTTTTATATTAGCTGCTTAGTCTTGGGCTCGGTTTCGGCCCTGGTGTTAGCCGTTGACAAATCGATCTGATCCGTTCATTCGATACGCTCGACTCGTCTAATGTCATTAACGGCATGCTAGCGAATAAATTCGTCTGCTTAACTCGACGCCCGCGCGCTTCTGCTTTGCGATGTGTTTCTGCGCGACCGCTGCCTTTTTTGTGTGTATTCTACTGTTGTGAGGTTGGTGTGCGGGTGTACGCAGTAATCGATTAGAAATTAACGAATGAAGCGAAATGCCATTCGATTGCTTTGTCTAACCAGTAGACCGTACACGAAGATCAACTTGATATAACTCTATGTTCAGATTTAATTTAGAATACAGTTTGTTTTCAAAGTTTCAAATTTTTTAAATAACTTTTAGAGGACTAATCCGATTTTTGCATCCGTGATATTGCTTGCTATAAAAATAAACAAGTCGATTTTAAATTAAATTTTAATTACTGCCCTAAAAACCTTCCATTATATATATTTTTCTTCTTTTTTAAATTTTAAATAAATCTGTCTAAATAATTCATTGCGTATTTTAGTATTTATATAGGAACAGTAGCTGCACCAGTACACCCAATATTGATTTATGAAAGCCATGATTGTTCTGCTCTGACTCACATTAAAAATAACCGTTAGGAGGATTTTCGGGATTTTCTTGGATGATTAAACCGTGAATTTCGTTTGTTTCACGTCGCACGCGCAATAAATATGCTCGAAAATGCGCATATTGGCAATTTGCGTGAAACGCGACCACAGAAATTAAACAAACAAGCAAACAAAATGCAAAACGTCAAACCTGAAGCAACTCATTCGTGCGTATCGCGCAACGGACTGCGCACGTGACAAATCACAAGCGTTTTCGACTAATTGCAATTACCTTCTGCAAATTGACGCGTCGAACATTGAATGCAACGTAATTGCTAATTTCCAAAATGGACGCACTGCGTAGTAATTAACTTCTGTTGCGAATTATAATTTTCGATGGATAAAATATACTGTAATAATGAGGTGCAGTCATTTTACACTGTTAGTGCAATAAAATATTATATGGTGGGTACTGCCATATAAAGCCATCAACTAGAAAGAAGTTAATGTGACTTAATTATCAAGTTGGAAAGAAAGGTACAGCTTTATTTGGGTATTTCTGTTTTGTATGTAAAGCATTACGTAGGTACTCAATTGAAGCAAGATGTTAAATTCATTTTGATTGTTTTTTTTTCTATGAATGACATCTTCAGTTTAAGTAAATAGGTAAGCTGTTTTATCTGTCAGTGACAAATTCAGCTTCTGTTTGTTGGCATTGCGCTTTGAGTCGCGGAAAATGAGCGGAAAATCGTCTTAATTGACATTTTGCGCCATGTTGAGATTAAGTATTTAATATTACGATGTTAAAAATTTATATTTAAATACGTTTCGATAAAGAAACATAAAATTATTCGAAAAATTTCTATTGTGGTTTTATGAAAGTATTAACATCACTGAGTATAAAATCAACGAAATATTAATCAACTTTATAGAAGTACTTACAAGCCTTTCACATTTGCCACGACTGTTAAATAACTGCGCCTTCAACTTTTAAACAATTGAAAGACTCGCAAAACTAAACACACACATTCACATATATGCCACTCCTACACTTTTTATCAATTTTAGAACTAGAAATATTAAAATTGATACTAGAAACATTTCAATTATTTTTTTTAAATCCTCTCTCCTCCTGTCACAAACATTTTTCAATTCAAAGTGAATATTCGCAGAAAAGAAATATTTTTTTTCTTACCTCAGCACACACAGAAAAGTCGAGTCACGCACTCCAAAGATAAATCCTCCGCATAATTTATGCATCATTTATATGGGCGTCGTTGCGGCATCGTCGGCGTTTATTACAATACACGTCGCCGAGGCCGCATCCTTTTTATTAGCAAATCAGTGCTTAAAATGCGCATTACTTCAGCGCGCGTACGTTTGCAATAAAACAATCCTCGCGGTGTTGCTGACAAAGCCGCAAAGGAAACGTACAAGAAACACAGAAACAACTCATGCGAGTATTACAATGCGTGTCATAAAATGGACCAACATTAAATCAAATTTGCATTCATCTGTATACATACTGGAATAGCCTCTTTCACAAGTAGTGTGTAATGATGATCATATATCACTAAATTTTAGTAGCATTTGTCCGAATCGCAATACTGCACTTTTTTTCAACTCACAATCTTGTCTTATAATAATTCTGCGTTGGCCAGTACGTATAATTTAACATTATTCATACTGCAAGTCTTAAAATGGCCATTAAAAGTATTAGAAATCGCAAAGTTGTAACAGAGAATATGGTGGCATCCACAGTTAGACGCTGTCGCAGTCACATCGTTGCATGTGGCTCGCCGATTTAATTTACACGATTTGGGGGTACCGTATTGGCTGAATGGTACGAAAAGATACCTATATTTTTAATGCTAAACGAGTTAAGATGCCATTAAAATGTAAAAAATCCAAACTGATTAACCGTTATGCATTAATATATATTTCCAAATGAATTATCTAAAAATAATAAAAAATATACGACATATTAAAATCTGCGCATGCGTACTTTATATAACTAGAATTAACTAGTAAAATATATATTTAATGTTGGAGAATACAAAAAGAATATTAGAAAGGCAAGGATTTTATAGTATTGTCAAACTAACATGTGAAAATTTCTCCACGTGCGCATAAATATTCATAGAAAACCGTAAGTTGCGTACTTTAATGACACTTTCGCAATGTTTTATCATTGCGTATTATTTGTTATCAGCGATTATAATAAGCGATGTGGAATTCATCGTCACATATGTATGTATTTTCATATTTAAATCGTTGAGCACACTCTTGCGCTAGCGCGTGTGCGCACACATCTCCCATCAAATAAATATCAGCAAACTATCTATAAATCGACTTCTTACATATTCTCGACGCACGATTATACTGCACATGACTCGTGACTATACTTTACTTAATTTTGTGATTCCACACCATCGAAATACTGCATGCGCTAGGGTAAATTGGTCATTACACTTCCAATCATCAGCCATAAGCTTTTGCTGACGCTTGGGATAAATCCATCATCATTATTATCATCATCTGGCGGCCAATCAATCACCCTGATTTATTTTTAATAATACCTGTCGCGGCGGAATTTTATTTGATTATTTTATTACCATTTTTAATTGTGGCCCGAGGGTATTATTTAGACCGGGACTGCTGTGCGGTGTAAGAGTGCGAGTCGCGGCATTGTGTCGGCCCGAACTTGTCCAAGAACAAACATTAACGTTAATTTGATAGATTGAATTGGCGAAAATCCTA